TTAAAGAAGGTTAAGTGGAGATGTTTAAGCCTGGTAGAGCATCCTGAAATGGCCAGGCCTAATGCCCAAAGGATAATACAGCTGGATGTCACTTTAAGGCTCGCTACAGTTTATCCCTTTCTTACAAATTTAGCCTGATCATTGGTGAGTTCTGAACAAGGACATGATGTCCCAGCATGAACTCCTGCGCCTGACTCCATGCCTTTGTTCATGCTTTTCCCTGTCCAGAATACCCTTCCTGGTCCTCTCCACCTCTGTAAGTCCGATTTGTCTATCAGGACCAAGGTGAAATCTAACCATTCTTCATGAGAACCTAAGAATTTGACCTATACTGAGTATCTTTTTCTACCTGTCTCAATTTACTGGGATACTTGATCATTGTTTTCTAATTGTTTCTCATTTGTTGATTTATTCATTCAATAACTACTACCTTCCTTCAATTAAATCCTTATTGGAGTCTTACAATGTGCTGGGCATTATGGTAGGTTTGAAGAAGAGAGTCATAGCTAAAAACAGACCTGGTGGCCGGGCGCGGTGGCTCACGCCTGTAATCCCAGCTCTTTGGGAGGCCGAGGCGGGCAGATCACAATTTCAAGAGATCAAGACCATCCTGGTCAACATGGTAAAACCCTGCCTCTACTGAAAAAAAAAAAAAAAAAAAAAAAAAAAAACCAATTAGCTGGGCATGGTGGCGCACACCTGTAGTCCCAGCTAATTGGGAGGCTGAGGCGGGAGAATTGCTTGAACCCGGGAGGCGGAGGTTGCAATGAGCTGAGATCGCACCACTGCACTCCAGCCTGGCGCCTGGTGATAAAGCAAGACTCTGTGTTAAAAAAAAAAAAAAAAAAAAAAAAAAAAAAAAAAAAAAAAAACAGAAGTGATTCCTGCTCTAATAGAGAAAAATCCATTAATCAAATAATTGCACTAGTGGAAGTACAATTACAAGCGGAGGAGAGTAGCCTAAAGGGAAGGAATGCGGTTTTATGAGAACATGTAAGAAAGGAATCTGATGTAGACCTGGGGATTGAAGTCAGGGTGAACTTTCTGAGAAGGTATAGTCTGAGCAGAGATATGAAGGATACCCAGTGAGGGCGAGGAGGGGAAGAACTCTCCAAATGGTGAGGGGCATCGTGTACAAAGGCCCTGGAAGTGGAAGGGAGCATGGCAGGTTCAAGGAAAGAGCTCTTTGAAAACAGCGTCCAGTTTGGGAGAGACGATGTTGAGTTGCCTTTGAACATGGACATGATGACGTAGAGTAGGCAGCTGATCAGGATCTCAGACCATCTGAGCTGGGGGCAGTCTGGGGGTCAGAAGGGATGGGTAGTGGATGAGGCTGTCGAAGGAGAGAATATGTGTGAGGAAAGGAGTAGATGTCTGAGACTAGGTCATAAGGCCCAGAAGGCCAGAGCATTTCAAGGAAGGAGAGTGGCTTCCCCCTGGCAAGACAGGGGATGTTTCTCTTATTTCTTCCTCTCTCCCTGCTCACTGTCATCTGAGTTCTGGTCTTACTTGGGTCTCACCTGGATGCAGCAAGAGTCTGCTAATTCAGTGCTTCTCAAATTTTAATGTGCACATAACTCACTTCGGAGTGGGGATCATCTCAATAAAATACAGATTCTGATTCAATAGCTGGAGCTGGAGCCTGAGATTCTGCATTTCTAACCAGCTCTCAGGTGACCTGGACCACCCTTGAGCAGCAAGGGTCATTAGTCTCCTTGCTTCTGAAGCTCAGCGCTCCTGATGCCCAGCATCCTCTTACTGCTGCAGCCATCTTTGGCCAGCCTCCCCTTCCTCCTGCAGCTCGCCTTCCTCCACCCTTCCCTTCACCAAATGTAACTAACCCCTCATCTGAAGTTTCCCATCTCTTTCTCTTGTAGTTCTGAAAGGGACAGAGGCCAGCTTGGCTCACTCTCAGGTAGAGGGGGACAACTGCAGTGGTCTTCAGACTTTTCTGTTTAAAATCCTCTCCGTAAAAGAATCTTTTAAAACCTTTTGCCCCTTCATACAGTTTTAAGTTTACATCTACATTTTTTTATCATACATTCGCTGAAGATACAATTTCCAGTATATTGTAAACATTGATATTTTAAAGCAAAACTATTACATCACTGTTTTAAATGTATCTAGTAGAATCTAAACACCATAGCAATTTAATACCTCCCGTCATTTACTTTAAAAATGCATGAACCACCTCTTTAATAGTCAGTGTTCGTTTTTCTTCTGGAAATTTTATTTTCATTTCACTTGCCCTATGGAATTTCATCCTAATGTGATATCTGTAATATATTTTTATGCTTGGAACTTTTTCACTTGTTTCCCTACCGTATTTCTCTGTAACAATTTTATATTAAGTTGAAACTGTTTTAATTTTTTTAATTTCTAAAATCAAAGATCGAAGTATTAAAATGTTCTTCTGGTTGGAGTTACCACAATTACTAATAGTACACAATTGATCAAAACAACATAAATGTATTACTAATTTGGATGAATAGTAAACATAAATAGCTAAATTGTATGGAAAATGTATCTCTAAATGAAGTGTTGGTACTGGTGACTTTTTTTGGGGTGGTGACTTTTTAAAACAAACTTTTTAAAATAAACATACAACATATACACCTGTATGTGTATGACCAGGTCACAGTCATATACATACAGGCGTGTATGTTGTATGTTAATTAGCTTGAATTACAGCAGAGTGAGAATCAGCACGCAGTTAACACCCAGGTCCAGAAATAAAATATTGCTGGTGCTTAGCTCTATTTTCAATTTTTTTATCCATAGATGAATATTACATAGTGCCAGCATGAGACAAGGATCAGCATTTATAGTGTTTCCATTTTTTGTTCTCACTGGGGCAGTACATGAAAAGTTTGCTCTTCTTTTTTACTTTACAAAAGTAAAGGAGGGTGATTAGGAAAGAGAAGGCCTAAAAGGACAGCTTGCACCTCTGTCACTCATGAGTTCTAGAAAGAATGTCTATAGAAGTTGAGGATCTAGGAATTGAATCTCTCTCTCTTTTTTTTTTTTTTTTTGAGATAGAGTTTCACTCTTGTCACCCAGGTCAGAGTGCAGTGGCACAATGTTGGCTCACTGCAAGCTCCACCTCCCAGGTTCAAGTGACTCTCCTGCCTCAGCCTCCTGAGTAGCTGGGATTACAGACACCCACCACCACGCCCAGCTAATTTTTGTATTTTTGGTAGAGACTGGGTTTCACCATGTTGGCCAGGCTGGTCTCAAACTCCTAACCTCAGGTGATCCACATGCCTCAGCCTCCCAAAGTGCTGGGATAACAGGCATGAGCCACCACGCCCAGCCGAGAATTGAACCTCTTAAAACTTTAGATGCATATGCAATGCTTGCAAAGTCCTCATGTGTTCCATGGAGTTCACACCTTGGTTTGAAGTTCACTGAAGAACCTGAATGGACTCACAGGGACCCAGACCAGTCTCTGCAAATGTCCTAGTTAGTGTTTCTACAAGTGAGAATCTGATCAGCCCAGCCTATTTTTTTGTGCCAGATCATCTCAAAAGCTTCTGGCCAGGAGGTTACCCCTATGCACAGATGTTTATCTGATCAGGAACCACAAGGAGACAGGTGACTATGTTGACCTGAAAGGCAAACTAACATGTACAGTACTCTTCCTGGAAACCTTCTCCAATTCTGTTCTTATGCTGCAATTAAGCTTTCCAGTCTCTGAATTCCCATCTCTCTCGCTCGTTTTTTTTGTTTTTCTTTTTTTTCTTTTTTTTTTTTTTTTTTTTTTTTTAGGAGATAAGGTCTTGCTATGTTGCCCAGGCTAGTCTTGAACTCCTTAGCTTAAGCAATCCTCACCTCAGTCTCCTGATAGGTGGGGGTACAGGTGTGTGCCATCACACCCTGCTTCTCTTAGTTTTGCCTTTTGATTACATGTATCTTTTTCTCCTTTGTAATTATCCATGTGACTCATCACCTCTTCTAACTACAGGCTTGAGAGCAGGCCTGTGTCTTAGTCATTTCTCAGCATTGTGCCTTACCTTTAGTAGGTGTCTAATAAATATGTGTTGAACAGATAAATTGATTAATGCATATCTTAAACTTATTTATATTTCCCACAGGTCCTAGAATAGTGTTGGGCTTTCAATAGCAGGGTCCCAGAAGAATGGATGAATTAATCAATGAACAAAACAATGAATTAACAAATCAATGAATCACTGAGCCATTGAACAATGGCTCGAAAGTAAGAGAGTTTGCATCTCATGTGAGAGTTAAGATCCTCGGATTCAGTGTAAAGGGTGTGGCGTGCATGACCCTGGCTATTTCTAATCGAGTCCCCTGTTTCTCACATATATATATATTCTTAGAGACGGAGTTTCACTCTGTCACCTAGGCTACGGTGCAGTGGTGCAATATAGCTCAGTGCAACCTTAAACTCCTGGTCCCAGGTGATCCTCCTTTCTCAGCCTCCTGAGTAGCTGGGGCTACAGGTGCATGCCACCACACCCAGCTAATTTAAAAAACATTTTTTTTTTTTTTGAGATGGAGTTTCGCTCTCGTTACCCAGCCTGGAGTGCAATGGCGCGATCTCGGCTCACCGCAACCTCTGCCTCCTGGGCTCAGGCAATTCTCCTGCCTCAGCCTCCTAAGTAGCTGGGATTACAGGCACGCGCCACCATGTCCAGCTAGTTTTTTGTATTTTTAGTAGAGACGGGGTTTCACCATGTTGACCAGGATGGTCTCGATCTCTTGACCTCGTGATCCACCCGCCTCAGCCTCCCAAAGTGCTGGGATTACAGGCTTGAGCCACCGCGCCCGGCTGAAAAAAAAACATTTTTATAGAGACAGGATCTTCCTGTGTTGCCCAGGTTTGTCTCAAATTCTTGGCCTCAACAAATCTCCTGTCTCAGCCTCCCAAGCAGCTGGGATTGTATATTTATTTTTATCACTGGTCATGGTAGATATCAATTGCTCATCACAAAACATCCAAATAAATCCTTTCCTGTCTTTTGCATCTTGCCTTGCAGGCGTGAGCGACGTCTCCTCACCACAGTGCTGTGTGGTCCTGTACCTCAGCCAGGGAGAGGATGTAAAACCCCCCGCCCTGCACATGAGTGGTACAGGCCAACAGGAACACCTGGCTCCAGCCACATTCACAGACATGTCAGCCGTGGAGTAGTGCGGACACTTTCTCTCAGCTTCTCAGGGTTTCAGTCCTTTTGGGTTTGTTTTATTTACCTTTTTTTATGGTTTTGTGGCTGGACGTTCACAACCAAGGCAGACAGCATGGGTGATCAGCAACTGTACAAGACCAACCATGTGACGCATGGTAGTGAGAACCTTTTCTACCAACAGCCACCACTTGGTGTCCACAGCGGGCTGAACCACAACTATGGGACTGCAGTAACAGGGGGCGGGATGGATGCCCCTCAGGCCTCGCCCATCTCCCCCCATTTCCCTCAAGATACGCGGGATGGTCTGGGCTTGCCTGTTGGCTCCAAAAACCTTGGCCAAATGGATACCTCGAGGCAGGGAGGGTGGGGGAGTCATGCAGGGCCTGGAAACCATGTCCAGCTACGTGGAAACCTGGCCAACTCAAACATGATGTGGGGGCCACCAGCCCAGGCCGAGCCCACTGATGGCTACCAATACACCTACTCCCAGGCCAGCGAGATCCGGACCCAGAAGCTTACCAGTGGTGTCTTGCACAAGCTGGACTCTTTCACCCAGGTGTTTGCCAACCAAAACCTGCGAATTCAGGTCAACAATATGGCCCAGGTGCTGCACACCCAGTCAGCAGTGATGGATGGAGCCCCTGACAGTGCCCTCCGCCAGCTGCTGTCTCAGAAGCCCATGGAGCCCCCAGCACCGGCTATCCCTTCCCGCTACCAGCAGGTGCCCCAGCAGCCACACCCTGGTTTCACTGGTGGGCTGTCCAAACCAGCTCTTCAGGTCGGGCAGCACCCTACCCAAGGGCACCTGTATTATGACTACCAGCAGCCACTGGCTCAGGTGCCAGCGCAGGGAGGACAGCCACTGCAGGCCCCACAGATGCTGTCACAGCACATGCAACAGATGCAGCAGCACCAGTATTACCCACCGCAGCAACAGCAGCAAGCTGGGCAACAGCGTATCTCCATGCAAGAAATACAGACACAGCAGCAACAGATTCGCCCATCACAGCCGCAGCCGCAGCCACAGCCGCAGCAGCTACAGCTGCCGCAGCGGCAGGGTTCGATGCAGATACCTCAGTATTATCAGCCCCAACCCATGATGCAGCACTTGCAAGAGCAGCAGCAGCAACAGATGCACCTACAGCCCCCTTCTTATCACAGGGACCCTCACCAGTATACCCCAGAGCAGGCACACACTGTCCAGCTGATTCCTCTGGGCTCCATGTCCCAGTACTACTACCAGGAGCCCCAGCAGCCCTACAGCCACCCCCTCTACCAGCAGAGCCACCTGCCCCAGCACCAGCAGCGTGAGGACAGTCAGCTGAAGACCTACTCTAGCGACAGACAGGCCCAGGCCATGCTGAGCTCCCACGGGGACCTGGGGCCTCCTGATGCAGGAATGGGAGACCCAGCAAGCTCGGATCTGACCCGGGTCAGCAGCACCCTCCCCCATCGGCCCCTCCTGTCCCCCAGTGGGATCCACCTCAACAACATGGGGCCTCAGCATCAGCAGCTGTCTCCCAGTGCCATGTGGCCCCAGGTATTCTTCCAGTGGAAGTTTCTCCCAATACCCAGTTTGCTACAGGGCTGAGTCTGCAGTGCCCAATCCTGTCTTCAAGCCCCATCAACCATTTTGTTCTTTATTCATTATACAAACATCAACCTACATGTGTCACGCACTGTCTGTGCCAGGCACTTGGAATACAAAATTAATTTTTATTAAGTCCTTTGGCCATGGAGCTTATCATCTACTAAGGAGATGGCCAGAGTACCATATCGTGCCCTAAATGATTCATGTAATGGTTAAGACCTTGAGTTGGGTGCCAGGGGACCACACAGTGGTGGCGTCTCAGTTCCCTTGGATCTGTGTGCTCAGGATATGTTCTATGACATTGGTCCTCCTTTGGGAGGTAGACCACATTATGACAGCATTTCTCAAAGTGTATTACTCAGAACAGCCATTCCACAGTGTTTAATGGATATTGCTGGGGAAACAGTGGGTTCTCTGGATAAATAAATTAGGGGGTTCTTTTTTCTTTTTTTAGAGATAGGGTCTTGCTCTGTCACCCAGGCTGGGGTGCAGTGATACAATCATAACTCACTGCAGCCCTGAACTCCTGGGCTCAAACGATCTTCCTGCCTCACCCTCCCACGTAGCTGGGACTACAGATCAATGCCACCAACCTGGGTACCTCCTTTAGTTTTGTTTTGTTTTGTAGAGACAGGTCTCCCTATGTTTCCCAGGCTGCTCTTGAACTCCTGGCCTCAAGCGATCCTCCCACTTCAGCCTCCTAAAGTGAAACACGTTGCTGTACTGCAGGACTTTTTGTGGCCTTTAATATGGTAGTATGCATTGTGAGTCTCCCCAAGGGGATACCATGTATGACTGCAGAGATGAAAATCTTAGCTTCCCACATGATCTAGGCTGTGAAAGTAAATAAGCAAAACCTGACTGGTTTGAGGCATTAGGGAGTGGTGGTGACTGTGGACTAAAGAGCAGATGCCCCATCCCATAGTATTCTCACTGAGAATTTTTTAAAAACACTCTAGCCAAACAAAACATGAATGCAGGCTGATTCAGCCTGTACACCATGATTAACCTTGATTTGTTCCTAAAAGTATTTGATCAGAAACAGCCTATTATGTGCTGGGCACTTTTCATGCCTTGGCTTATTCCAAGTGCTACAATCATATGTCAGCAGTGTCTGGGAGGAGGCGGTTCTGATGGAGATCGAAGGCCAGAGATGAACTTCCCCTTGACCTTCTTTTATCTGGGGCTCAGACCCAGTAGTAACTGAGAGGCTTTGTAAATATAAGAATAGGCCGAGGCGGGTGGATCACGAGGTCAAGAGATCGAGACCATCCCGGTCAACATAGTGAAACCCCGTCTCTACTAAAAATACAAAAAATTAGCTGGGCATGGTGGCACGTGCCTGTAATCCCAGCTACTCAGGAGGCTGAGGCAGGAGAATTGCCTGAACCCAGGAGGCGGAGGTTGCGGTGAGCCGAGATCGCGCCATTGCACTCTAGCCTGGGTATCAAGAGCAAAACTCTGTCTCAAAAAAAAAAAAAAAAAAAAAAAAAAAAAGAATAGGATGATTTGGCTAAGGCTTTTTAAGAAGAATTCCAGGGCCGGGTACAGTGGCTTACACTTGTAATCCCAGCACTTTGGAAGGCCAAGGTGGGAGGATGGCTTGAGCCCAGGAGTTGGAGACCAGCCTAAGCAACATAGCCACACACACAAAAAAAAAATCAAAAATTTAGCCTCTACAAAAAAATAAATCATTTAGCTGGGTGTGGTGGCACATACCTGTAGTCCCAGCTACTTGGGAGGCTGAGGCAGGAGGATTGCTTGAGCCCAGATAGTAGAGGCTGCAGTGAGCCACGATCATGCTACTGCATTCCAGTCTGGGTCACAGAGCAAGACCCTGTCTCCAAAAAATAAAAGGAATTCCATCAGGAGATCTGGTATGATGCTGTGTCTTCCAACTTTCTTCTGTGCCCCTTATGGGAATGGAGCCTGTCTGTGCATGGAGTGTGTACCCTGGGAGAACAGGAAAGAACACGGTGCGGGGCTGCATCCTGGTGGGCTTGCTGTGGCTGGCAGCAGCTCCAGGAGTGGGGTGGTGGTCCCAAGTCAAGGAGCAATTCAGGGACAGGAGTCAGAGGCAGAAGAGCAAGGGTGTGAGTGGACAGGCACGGGGTCAGCACGAGGCAGCCGGCAGAAAGAGTCCTGGAAGGGTACCTGGTGTTCCCACCGCTCCAGGACTCTTCCCTTCAGAACACGTTTTTTTCCCTCTTCTTTTTTTTCGGTGTCCTGTTTGGCTCAAAACTAGATACACCTACCTGATGGGAGAGCCCCGCCAGGTTCTCCGGAGTCAAGGTAAGTTGAGTGGAGCTTTGTTGGTATTTTGGGAGACTGGGAGGATTTTCTGGAGTGTCTCTCACGATTCAGTTCTAAATTCAAAGTCAATTCCTCCAAGAAGTGTGTAGAAATAATAGCAGCTGTTGTGTTTGAGTGCTTGCTATTGTGCTAAGCCCTATGCATTCTGTGCAGTAGAGTAACCGATGAGGGTGGGTCTGATTATGATGTGCCTATCCTCAGTAAGCACTCAATCATTCTTAACTATTATTATTGTTACTTTACAAATGAGAAAACTGAGGCTCAAAGAGCTTAAGGTTAAACATCAAGTACCAATGGTGGGATTGACTGCAAAGACCATGTTCTGTCCACTCTGCATTCATTCAGTACTTACTAAGCACCTACTCTGTGCCAAGCATAGAGCTAGGCTTTGAGAATGCAGCAGTGAACCGTACAGACTTGCTTCCTCATCTCATGGGCATGGTAACTAAAGATTTAGCCAAACCTGAGAAACTGCTGAGGTGTGCAATACGGAGGCCGCCTCGGGAACTTGCCCCAGCGTCTCCAGCGGGGAGGCTTTTGGAGGAGCTGGGCTCAGGCTGACCCTGGAAGGGTGATGAGCTATGGTTCCCAAGTCAAAATCCATTGCCTAAAGGCCTGGCATGAAGAAGGACATTTTTTGTTCAGTTCTTGCGTGACTTTGAGAAGGTCTTTTCCCATGCTGAGCCTCAGTTTCTTCATCTGTACATTGGGCTTGGTTCTGTAAAGGGCATTGGGGTGATGCAAGTAGTGCCGTGGATAATGGGATCACTGGATGAATGGAATGGGTCTGTGGTGGGTATGAGGTCTTGTGCCAAGTCACTGTTTCTCTTCCCTTCCTCGCGTCATGTGTGTCCTCTCCATTTGGCTCTACCCTTGAGCAGTGGCCAACCCAAAGGAGTGTTTGGGGAGCAGTTTGATGCCAAGAACAAGCTGACGTGCTCCATCTGCCTGAAGGAGTTCAAGAACCTTCCTGCCCTGAACGGCCACATGCGGTCCCATGGGGGAATGAGGGCCTCCCCCAACCTCAAACAGGTTAGCAGGAGCCATTCCCTGGTCCTTTCTAGGCTATGTGCTGCTTGCTTTGCTTTGCTGCCGTCAGGGAGTGATGTGAGCCCCACGCGGGACATGGCGAGGCACAGTCCTCCCTCGACAGGAATGCTTAGGCTCTGAGGCTGGGAGCCACCCAGATCAAAGAGCCCCACTTCCCCAGCGTTACAGTGAGCAAGGGTCAAAAAGCAGGCGCTGGAAAACCTTTTAGGGCATCCCAGCCCCTCTCTCTCTGCCTCCTAGAGAAGACAGCAAAGGAAAACATGTAAATGCAATATTGTTTTTAAACTTCTGCTGTTTGACACACCCAAGACTGGGGCCACTGGGGCCTTCCAGATTAGTGGTCAACGGCCAGAGACAGCTAATATAACCATCAGGCTGTCCGCCAAAATTTTCTGTTTACTGATGCAGTGGCGTTTGGCTCAATATCCAAAGATCCTTAAATACCCTCCAGATTATCCAAGGTAGGCTATCCAGATAGTAAACTATCCACAAGTTTTAGAGTTAGAGTAAAATCAAAAAAATTCTCAGAGTTCTTTGAATATTGTTACTTTTAATTTAAATCTATGGGATTAAATCTCTGTTGACCAGAATTTTTGATTACCCAGATCACTCCAACTCCTGGCCATGCCAGATTATGTTTTTTAAAAAAACTTTTGTCTTTGCTTGTTAAAGGTATATGTTTTGGGTTGGGCATGGGGGCTTACACCTGTAATCCCAGCACTTTGGGAGGCTGAGGCAGGTGGATCACCCGAGGTCAGGAGTTCAAGAGCAGCCTGACCAACATGGAGAAACCCCATCTCTACTAAAAATACAAAAAAAAATGCCAGGTGTGGTGGTGCCTATAATCCCAGCTCGGGAGGCTGAGGTGAGAGAATCCCTTGAACTCGGGAGGTGGAGGTTGCGATGAGCTGAGATTGTGCCATTACACTCCAGCCTGTGCAACAAGCGTGAAACTCCATCTCAAAAAGAAAAGAAAAGAAAAGAAAAAGTACATATTTTGTATCTCCGGTGTGGTTTCCTGACCTGAATAAAATTTAGGATGGAATGCCTATTTCCATTTGACAAATGAATAAACTAAGGCCCATAGAATTAAAAACTGCACAAGATCCTACCTTTTTTGGACTGATGACAAGTTCGTGTTCTTTCCTTTAAAAGCAATGGCAACCACATAATTTTTTTAAATTGCTTAATACACAAGTAATAAATGGTCAAGATTTTTAGCTGTAGAAAATGGAGGCCATGGCCTCCTCTACCATCAGCTGGCATCGCTCCAGCCAAGGGACTCAGGATTGCAGGAAGGAAATCTCCCTGCAGTGGTTATCACCCATACCTGATGTCCTGGAATCTTTCAGGAAAAGCAGAGTGTATCCCCTTTGTGAGAGCTTCTCTCAGCCCAGGATCAAAGCCTTTATTGTCTGTGTAGGAGGAAGGAGAGAAGGTCCTGCCGCCTCAGCCCCAGCCACCACTGCCGCCTCCGCCTCCGCCTCCGCCGCCGCCACAGCTCCCTCCCGAGGCGGAAAGCCTCACGCCTATGGTCATGCCTGTGTCTGTCCCTGTCAAGCTTCTCCCGCCCAAGCCCAGCTCTCAGGGGTTCACCAACAGCACCGTTGCCGTCCCCTCCGCCAGAGACAAGCCAGCCAGCTCGATGTCGGACGACGAGATGCCTGTGCTCGTGAGGATGACCCTCTCTCCCCCACACTCACCCCAAGGGGCTGCCCCCCGCACGCCTGCTGTGAGTTGCTGCTCTGCCCCACCTGCCTGGGTGGGGACATCCCTTTGCTTTCTTAGAGATGGGGCAGCCCTTCCAGAGTCACTGACCCAAGCTCAACATGGCTTGGCCTCTCAGGGCTGAACCCCTGTGGCCACATTGGGAACCCCATCCTTCATGCCAGACTAATGGCCTGGGTTAGATTCTGAGAGACCTGAAAGTGTTCCCAGATTATCAGAGATGATCATTCATCTGGGACTCACTGGGACAATCATAGCTGCTATTGAAATTTGGAAGCACTGTATACCAAAAAATAAGCAGCTTGCCCAGGCCCTGGCCCCTTCCCCAGGATCTCCAGACCTCCCAAATTCACTACCAAAGAGGTGAACACTGGTGCAGGCTTCCATGCAGTAGCCCTGGCATCCAGTCTGACAATCAGCCTTACCAGATGCTTAATATTTTGTCGGCTTAAATCCCCTGGAGAGCCTAATTTGTTAAGTTTCCAAAGTAGTTCCACTGAGAGCCACCCACCCCTAGTCTCAGGAAAGCAAAGAGGTTTGTTTTTCTCACTCACTGTTCTCCCTTCTCCAATTCTAAGTGCTTCACTCAAAGAGCTTAACTTGGCTCTGGGAAGGGTTTCTTTGTCTGTCTGTCTCTGTCTGTCTGTCTGTCTGTCTGTCTGCCTGCCTGCCTCTTGGACCCTAGGAAATTTATGATCTGTGTGGTTGACAATATCAAACCTATCTCCCCACAAAGTGGCATGTTGGGCTGATATTTGTCCTTAGGAATAGGCAGCTGCTGAGAGTCCAGGGGGCATAGGGCGAGGCTGGGCCAGAATAGAGGGAGAGAGGATAATTAATAGAACTAGAAAAGTCCAGAAAAAAACCTTTATGGTTCTCTATGTTAATATCAAGTCCTCAAAAGAAGAGAAACTGATGGAGAACTGGGGGGAAGATTCTCATAAGCTGTCAGGACTTGGGGGCCAGCAACAGGCAGAGAGATGAAATGACACATCCAAGCTCCCTCTTTGCCCAGGGGAGTTCATGATTTGGTGGGAGAAACACGATTTCTCCCCTTGGGGAGCTCTCAATTAAGGATTCATAATCACATGGGGGTCAGAGTCCCAGGCACACCCCCTGCCACCATCACCCATTCAAGATGGTGAGAAAAAGACAGGGGGCAGACAAGAAATGGATGCCCCAGGTGTGACTGGATGGGACTACACCTGGGTAGCAAAAGTCATTACGGACTGAGGAGGGGCAAGGGAGTTTGCTCAGGAGATCATCATTAGTATTCCGAGCAGGGTTTGGAAGGAAAGGATGATCTTGACTTAATGAAAGGGTGAGAGAGACCTGTCAGTTGGGGGGATTGTGAATTAGACACGTGTAGGTGGGACTGAATACTTGTGAACAAGGTCCTGGCACTTGATGTAAAGAAATTAAAACATCCAGGACAGAGCCCTGAGTACCCATCCCAGCTTGGCTCCTAGCCAGCTCATCAGTGGTTCTCATCCTTCTCTGTGGACAGCTTTTTAAAGTTTTCAGTGCTTGGCCTCACCCCCAAAGTGTCCAAATAGTTTGGTGGGGTGGAACACTGTAAGTGCTTCCTCTCAAGTGGCAACCAGGCATGACATTCTAGGTGGCTTCTGTGGCCCAGTGGCTCAGAGCCTTTACCTGGAGGATCAGAAAATCCAGGTTTAGGCCAGGCGTGGTGACTCACACCTGTAATCCCAGCACTTTGGGAGGCTGAGGCGGGTGAATCACCAGGTCAGGAGTTCAAGACCAGACTGGCCAAGACGGTGAAGCCCCGTCTCTACTAAAAATACAAAAATTAGCCGGGTATGGTGGCGGGTGCCTGTAATCCCAGCTACTCTGGAGGCTGAGGCAGAGAATGCTGGAACCCGGGAGGCGGAGGTTTCAGTGAGCTGAGATTGCACCACACCACTCCACTCCAGGCTGGGCGACAGAGCAAGACTCCATCTCAAAAAAAAAAAAAAAAAAATCCAGGTTTAGAGCTGCAGTACAGGACAAGAAGCTGGAGAAGTGGGAGCCCCAAAGGGACCTCTGGCCCTGTAATGAGAGGTCTGGATTGCAGTGCTGCGTTCAGATAGCATAAGGTCTACATGTTCTTAGATGACCTCATCTGTTACCCAGGAACACGGTAGGCTGTAACTTCAGGGCTGCTTTCCTTATGGGGGACACCAGCCTCCTTCCCCCAGTCTCCTCAGCCCCTCTCCCGCCTCAGCGTCAGGCGCTGAGGAGCCCTCTGGTGGAGAGAGGAGGCAGTTGAGCTCCCTAGCCTAAGGAGAGCCCCCTGGGGGGTGAGGTCAGGGTTAGGAACCTCACACTCTGGAGCTGGGAGCCTGGGACCCTCTGCCTCCCTAGACTCCCCTCCTAGAGGCCAGGATGGCACCATGGAAGGCAAGGAAGCTGAGGGAGAAACAGAACGCGTCAGAGCCTTGACGCTCTGGAGGGAGAGGAGACCAGAGCAGAGGCCAGAGCCTTGACGCTCTGGAGGGAGAGGAGACCAGAGCAGAGGAACCCATGGGGCGGGTCACATGGCCTGGAGGCAGCTGGTCACATGACCGTGGCCAGCCCTTCCCATCACCCCCTGCTGCTTCCTACCCAGGCGCCACCCTGGGCTCAGGACTCTCCAGGACCTGCAGCTGTGACTGGCCCCTGGCCTGCAGGGCCCGAGAGGGCACGCCAGACCATCCAGAACCTTCCCTCAGGTATCCCCGTGGCCCCTCCCAACCACACCGCCTGTGCAGCCCCACCCAGCTCTCCACTTTTCTGGGCTGATGCTCCCACACAACCCCGAGTCTGTTTCCGGTTTGGCTTTGGCATGCCCTGCTCATCTGTTTACGTGCCTCCGTTTACTTACTAGTGTATATGTATCCATGCGGCAGATCCTCCTTCCAGACTACGCTCGGTTCCGCTGCCATTAAAATAAACTAACTCTCCTGACAGGAAGCCAGCCTCTGGAGAAGAGTTGGCTACAAATAAGCTTACAAGTTCTGGGAGCCATAGTGAGGGGCGGTGAGCGGGGAGGTCAACCAGATCCGTGTTTAGGTGAGCACGCGGAAAGGGCCTTAGAGATCGTCGCGGTGAAGGTGACCCAGGAGAGCCCGGTGTGGGTCGCCGGCCTCAGGAGCCTCGGCTAGGCTTGAGCCCCCTCTTCCTGCGCCGCGGGTCTCGGCGCCAGCTTCCCTGAAGAGATTGTTCTGTCCCCTTCTCAGAACATGTGCTATCTGTTCCTGATGTCCGTCTCTGGGGAGCGGAGGGGGAATCAAAGAGCCCACTCAGCTGGATTCCACTCCAACAGATGGGAATGTAGTGATAAGCCATGAAGACGTTGAATTTATGACTTCTTGACCACCCACTATTCCTATCGCCCCCAGCCCTTTCAGAAATGAGGGATTTCTTCCAAAAGCCTTCGTTTTCTCCCTAGTCTAGCAGCCAGAACTCACTTTGCCTGAAATGGATGTGATGGCGCGGGGTGCGGGGGTGGGGGGCGGTCACGCGGAAGGCCTGTCTGCTCAGACAGGGGAAGGCCCCCTTCCCTGAACCTGTGGAATTGACCTGCAGGGGAAGCCGAAGTATTCCAATCATTTCGTTGTTCCACTTTTAGGAAATCCCCAAGAAGCAGCAGCCCAGCGTGCCCAAAGCCGAGGAGCCCCTCAAGACCGTGCAGGAGAAGAAAAAGTTCCGGCACCGGCCGGAACCCCTCTTCATCCCGCCGCCGCCCTCCTACAACCCGAACCCCGCTGCCTCCTACTCGGGCGCCACCCTGTACCAGAGCCAGCTGCGCTCCCCGCGCGTCCTCGGAGACCACCTGCTCCTGGACCCCGCCCACGAGCTGCCCCCTTACACGCCCCCACCCATGCTGAGCCCGGTGCGCCAGGGCTCGGGGCTCTTCAGCAATGTGCTCATCTCCGGCCACGGCCCTGGCGCCCACCCGCAGCTGCCCCTGACGCCCCTGACGCCCACACCGCGGGTGCTGCTGTGTCGCTCCAGTGAGTCACCCTTTAGCCTCCTCCTAGGCTCTGGGTGCTGGGTAGAGTCCCAGGAGGCCCCGTTTTCTTTAGCTTTCTCGTCTATCCCACAGACTTTGGCGGAGTATGGGCTGTATGTAGCACACACTGCTGGGTGCTAATAAAGACTTGGAATGCATAGCCCTTATCCTCAAGGGAATCACAGTCTAATTGGGAGACAAATGTGTAAAGTGATCACTACAGTCTCTGGGATAAGGAAACAGTTGAAATGTTTGCCAGTTTCTGAGACAGCCCTCGATGATCGTGCAGGAGAGAAAAAATGAGGCCGGGCGTGGTGGCTCACATATGTAATCCCAGCGCTTTCGGAGGCCAGTGACACTCCGTTACTTCTAAAAATACAAAAATTAGCCGGGCGTGCTGTCGCCTGCCTGTAATCCCACCTACTCAGGAAGCTGAGACAGGAGAATCACTTGAACCCGGGAGGCGGAAATTGCAGTGAGCCGAGGTCGCACCACTCCACTCCAGCCTGGGAGACAGAGCGAGACTCCCTCTCCAAAAAAAAAATAGCGGGACGTGGCAGGCTGAGTGAAGAGAATCGCTTGAACCCGGGAGGCAGAGGCTGCAGTGAGCTGAAATAGAGTCACTGCACTCCCGCCTAGGTGAAGGAGCCACACTGTCTCGAAAAGAAAATGTACTCAGTAGATGTACAAATAAGATTAGGCATTACATTTAAGATCAAACCTTGACATTTTAGCGTGCTTTATAAAAATCAAGCACAAAGAGGCTAGGATCTCTTTCTGGCGCAAGAAAAATTGCATAGAAATCATACCGCTTAGCCAACCATTGTGGGACAACTGGCTTCTTCTCAACCTTTATGAGAAATGGTTAACCCTAAGTCATTTAGCTCTATACTCCACCCAGCTCCCTGGAAACTGTCAGGGGTAACTGGCAGGAGTTGGGTAGGAGAGGAGCCCTGTTATGGCTGGTTAGGTAACTGCTCATTTGCTTTAGTCTTTTTCAACATTCCTTCCCTGTTGACTAGTGACCTCTGGTTTTTGTTTTAGACAGCATCGATGGCAGCAATATGACGGTCACCCCAGGGCCTGGAGAGCAGACTGTGGATGTTGAACCGTAAGGAAAAGTCAATTACTCTTTAGAACAGAAGCTTCGCTTCTTGAGAAGTGTAGTTAATACTTTTGTAGTCAGAGGATTACACTGAGAAAGCAGTTGTAGAATTGGTAGGATCGTGGTTATTTCTTGAGTACTGTTGTTTCCCTACACAATAGTTGCCAGTATTCCAAGGCCTTTGCCAAAGACTAAAGGCATGGTCAAAGCATGAAGCCCTGTATTCAGAGAATCTAGCGTCCCTGTGTCTGGCTCCACAGACAGCATGGTTGTAGCCATGTGTTTTCTTATCCCCAGTGATACTGAAGCATCTCCCTCGGGTGGCTCATTCTTTAAAAGGCACCTTCTGAATGTCCTCATGTCCGCCCTCCCCTCCCTGACTCTTGGCCAGTCCTCCAAATGGGCTTGTTAAGTACTTTAATTTTGCTTGGGCAGTGGGTGGTGTTAGGAAAGGGAAAGGTGATTTATCTTCAGGGATAGACACAGAAAAGAGGCCAGGTGGTAGAGTGGTGAGTAGATTGAGTCAGGAATCAGAAAACCTGAGTTCCAACACCATTTTGTAATTTGATTTTGATCGAGTTAACCTTTCTAGGCTTTGGTTGACTCATCAAATTGGTATAATTATTACAGCCTTGCTTACATCACAGATCTCTGTCAGGTTCGGATGGGATAATGTCTGTGAAAGTGATCTGAAAGAGATTTAAAAAATGAAACGAATGCTTTGTGTTTTCCCCATTTTTGTGGTTACATGGCACCATTAGCCCTGCTCTGGGAAACTTCTCTTGGAATTAATCACCCTCCCTTTCCCATTTACCTGAAGCTGTAGAAGCCCCAGACCGGCTGCTCCCTTGCTCCTAAAATATTTCTCCCCAATCTTAAAGCTGTTCCTTATCCCAGTGAAAAAGCCATGCCTGGAATCTTAGGGTCACACTGTGAGGAAACGCCCCTGTGTTCTTGAAGAAAGAACTAGTTTCCTTCTTTTTCAAGTTCCTGACAGTTGCCCTTGGCCTGGGCCATCAAATTAAAGACCACACTGTTGTTCTTGTCATTTAAAGACGCATCAACATTGGCTTGAGATTCCAAGCAGAAATCCCCGAACTCCAAGATATCTCTGCCCTGGCCCAGGACACACACAAGGCCACACTGGTATGGAAGCCCTGGCCAGAGCTAGAAAACCATGACCTCCAGCAAAGAGGTATTGGCACATGGGAAGAGCTGGGTGGGAGAGGTTTGATTCTCTCACTGGTATCACTGGCTCTGGGATTGGTGTGTTTTCTGTTACACTGAACTCTCTGATGCACTGGTTTCTCCTTATTCCCAAACAGTGGAGAATCTTCTGAATTTGTGCTGTTCAAGTGCGTTGCCAGGTGGAGGGACCAATTCTGAATTTGCTTTGCACTCTCTGTTTGAGGCCAAAGGTGATGTGATGGTAAGAGACCATGAAAAAAAGAGTACTCTTTACAAATTCCTAAAGAGTATTTTCCCAAGTTTCAGTATTGTCTAGTGTACCATGCAACCAATTCATAATGACCAGTCAGTGCATGATGACCAATCAGCATGCCTCCCTATCCCTTCTCTCAGAGGGTAGGTCAGGATGTTAAAGCCTATAGAAAAAAAATTCCAGTTGGACTTCAGTTTCCACATCTGTTCCTAAAGTTAGAACTGTGGGTATAGCTGTCCTAGGAAATTAGAATTTCTTTTCCTCATCTTGCATTTCACATCAGAAAACCAAGTCTCTAGTGATGGAGGTAGACGGCTTTACTGAAACAGAAGTTGGTCTAAAATAGCCTATCATACTCTGCTGATTCTTCTTCCCAGCTATGGAAATCATCCAAAGTTTGATGTTTATAGCACTCTTTTCTCCTCTAACCAAAATAAAATGTTTCCTGTTCACCAACTGGTTCCATTTTCCCACTTTTTACACAGTTCTGCAGATGTTCCCAAACCCATGTCTTGATGCTGTCTTCCCAAAATCTCAGCTCTAACCAGTTGACCTGCTCAATCTGAACTTCCTTTTTTTTAAAATGGGGTCTCACTCTGTCACCCAGGCTGGAGTGCAATGGCACAATCTCAGCTCACTACAACCTCTGCCTTCCAGGTTCAAGTGATTCTCCTGCCTCAGCCTCCCTCGTAGCTGGGATTACAGGCGTGCACCACCACACCTGGCTAGCTTTTGTATTTTCAATAAAGACCAGGTTTCACCATGTTGGCCAGGCCAGTCTCGAACTCCTGACCTCAGGTGATCCTCCCACTTTGGCCTCCCAAAGTGCTAGGATTACAGGCACCTGACCTCAACCTGGACTTTTGGCTAGATCACTCAATCACTAACCTCTGTTTCCCCTTTGTATAAATACATGGTAGTAGATCTAGCTTCCTGCATTTTGATTTTATGAAAATGTGAAAATAAATGTCCCAATACTTTGATACCCTTCAAGTGTTTCCTAGAATGCTAGAGAACTGTCCTTAACCCTTTGAGATCAGTGTGGCAGAGCAGCAGTTCTCAAGCTTTTAATGTGCAAACACATCATCTGGGAATCTTGTTTAAAATGCAGATTCTGATTCAGGGGGTTAGGAGGAGGGCCCAGGTTCTGCCTTTCTGACCAGCCCCGAGGTGAGGCAGGTATTCCTGTTCTATGGACCACACTTGGAGTAGCAAGATTCTAGGCCTTGCTCTGCCTGGAAACTATCTGATGTTCAACTCTGTCTGCAGCATCTTTTAAAAAGCTACCGAGGGCCAGACGTGGTGGCTCACGCCTGTAATCCCAGCACTTTGGGAGGCCGAGGCAGGCGGATCACGAGGTCAGGAGATCGAGACCATCCTGGCCAACATGCTGAAACCCCGTCTCTACTAAAAATACAAAAAATTAGCTGGGCATGGTGGTGTGTGCCTGTAATTCCAGCTACTCGGGAGGCTGAGGCAGGAGAATTGCTTGAAACCGGAAAAGGGAAGTTGCAGTGAGCCGAGATCGCACCACTGCACTCCAGCCTGGCCTGGAGATAGAACGAGATTCTGTCTCAAAAAAAAAAAAGTTCCCAAGGCTGATCTGAAGCAGTTTATTTAGTCAGGCTCTCTGGAAGGATGGTATGTATGTAGCAAGTTATTACTGATACAGCTGTTGATGTTCAGTTGTAATGAAACACGAGTTTTCTGTAAAACAGTTACAGATCACCCAGGCATTTCCTCGGAAGCCCTGCCCAGAGACTCAGCCTCCAGTCAGAGGAGGCCCCACTCATCTATGGGACTGGTGGGATTTTACCAAGGAAGAGTCAGGTCTTTCTGTTCTCCTGTGACATGAATAACTGGCTTCAGGCATGGAGTGGGAGGGTATTAGAATGAGAGTCTCACTGGATACTGAACAGACATGAAACCCTAGTTAGGGTAAGTCTCCCTCTGGGTTTCCTTCCAGTGCTCCCACCCCTGGCCTCTGCAGTGCTAACCCCTTTTCCCCTTTGGGTAGATGGTCTCCCTAGGACACACAGACCTGTTGACTGACTCTGGCCTTTTCTTTCCCCTGGGTCTACAGGTTGCTCTGGAAATGCTGCTGCTGCGGAAGCCGGTCAGGTTAAAATGTCATCCTTTGGCAAATTACCACTATGCCGGTAGGTTGCCGAGAGCCCTGTGCCCTGTTGCCTCCTGATAGTGGGCTGCCTGCATGTTTGGTTGTGTCACTTTCTAGTAATGGATAACACCGTTCTGTCCTAATCACGACTTGTGATCTCAAGGTCTCTAAGGGCAGAGCTATGTCTGTTGCTTTGGCACTGTTGGCATCTGTCTGTGTAGGCTCCTGCCCCTTGTGGGTGTGCCAAGACCTGGGTGGTAGTGGACAGTGCCTGCACGTGTGGCAGGGAGGCCAAGTGCATGAGACCAGAGAGAGCCACAGAAGGTACAGCACTGCACTGGCAACAGCAGCCCCCTGGCTTTGGAATCAGTAGCCATGGGTTCAGATCCTGTTGCACCCCTTGACCAAGTTCTGTGGCCCTTTGCCGCCTTGGTTTTATCACTTGTGAAATAAGACTTGTATTCCATTCCTTGTAGTGGTTTTGTGGGATGAGAGATGGTATATGTAGCCCAATGCCTGGCACATCCTAGTAGTACTTATTATTCATTTGTCCAACAATTATTTTTTGAACACTTACTGTCTCCAAGGGACTTGGTAAACACTGAGCTACATCAGTGACTGCAACAGACATGGACAGAGTCCTGCCTCATGTGGCTCAGAGTCTGAGGAGGAGGCAGATATTAAATCATGGATCATACTAATGACGGGGAAAGACTTCATCCACACAGGGTTGTGCATGGAATTAATACTAGTACCACAGTAAGAGGGAAGTAGAAGACTCCTTTGATATTTAAATGTAGTGAGAATCATGAAGAGCAAAGGAAATAGGTCGGGGAGCCTAAGAGGTGACTGGTGAGATCGAGATCAACATTTTCATTTCCATGCACTCTGGTAGAACTGTTCCTTCTGAGTGTATTTCAGAGGGGGCTGAATTGTCAGTGCCTCTTGATTTTTAATCACTTGAGGGTTTCTTTGGTGCTCTGGGAAGACCCTGCCTAGGCAGGTTGTAAATATGTGGGCTTGGGGAGCAAGCTATACCTTTTCCAATCTTTGGTCTCGACAGCCAGGTGAGTGCTTCTTTACAAATATTGGCTCTCTTTCTCTACCGCTATTTGCCTCACCTACTGTGCTCCTCCTTTTTCATGAACAAGCCTTCCTGCCTGTCATCATAAGGAAGACCTCAAAGCCCCTCCTCTAGGCACAGTAAGCCCAAGATGTCTGCCTGCAGGTCACTCTCAGAACTAGGCCAGTACAGAGTGGACACATGGGATAAGAAATTCATCACTTCTCCCGTGGCCTAAAGGAGCCAGCTTCTTAATATTGTCTCCATCATTTCCTGCTTGGTGTCTGTCCCAAATGTGGGTAGAAAGATGTAGGAGTTCTCCCTAATCTGCCATGGAAACTGTTGAGTCCTCTCTCTTAATAATTTCCAGCATCATCTGCTGCCCATTGAACGCTGACAGGCTGTCCAGCCAGCTAGAGCCTGTCTCAAGCTTCTTTTCATGATGGGTGGGATGGTGGGTTGGCTAAAAGGAGCCTCCCAACCAAGTGCTGTGAGATGCTGCTGCCCTCAGTCCTCAGAGTGGCTAGGGTCACCGGAGCTTCTGGGCTGGTCAGCTCCAGCTGTGAGCAACTTCATCTGGGACACAGCTCTCCTCTGCTTCTTCCAAGTGTCCCAAACAAGTATCATTTTATGTGCATCATGCCATTAAAAAGGTCAGAAAGCTATGTACTAGGAGCCACACCACCCCCCAATCAAAACAAAATAAAAACACTAAAGTCTTCACCAAAAACTGTGAAACAAGAGGGCCCTAAATTCTGCTATAAGTACTTGATCTCTTGAGGTTGAGGATTTCTAGCTAATCCCTTGCCTATCCCCTGCCACCTTCCCCAGCAGGCAGACCAGGAAGGACTCTGCTGTTTTCTGGAATCATTTCAATCCTTGAAGGCAAAAGAGGTAGAGCTGAGCTGTGAAGGGTTGACATCTCCAAGAGAAGGGTACTCACCTATGTCTGCCAGTCACTTGTCTTCTCCGGGAAGTGATCATAGACTGGGACCCAAAGAATCTTTTAGAAGTATAACCAAAAGGCCGAGCACGGTGGCTCAAGCCTGTAATCCCAGCACTTTGGGAGGCCGAGGCAGGTGGATCACGAGGTCAAGAGATCGAGACCATCCTGATCAACATGGTGAAACCCTGTCTCTACTAAAAATACAAAAAATTAGCTGGGCATGGTGGCGCATGCCTGTAATCCCAGCTACTCAGGAGGCTGAGGCAGGAGAATTGCCTGAACCCAGGAGGCGGAGGTTGCGGCGAGCCGAGATCGCGCCATTGCACTCCAGCCTGGGTAATAAGAGCGAAACTCCGACTCAAAAAAAAAAAAAAAAAAGTATAACCAAAAAGGGCAGAGGTCACTGGTCTCTAAAGTCTGGCCCAAAACCATCTCCTTAACAGTTTCCTTCTAAGCCACAGGGGAGCAGCAGTCTTCACCATCACACGCCTCAGACACCTCCTCCCTCCCCAACTGCTGAGCACCCCCCCCCCCATTTGCTTCCTGGATATCAGTGAATCCCATCTCCTTGGCCCCCATTCTGCCTTGGCCTTTGTGCCTGAGCCCTGTTGGGTCGCTCTCCAGTACTGAATTCCTGCTGGCTTCATTGCCACCTTGCTGGGACCCTATCTTCTGGATCTCCTTTGGCTCCTGACTCTGTGGCTGTGGCCAGTGTCACCCACCCTGAGTCCCAGCCCTGAATTTGCTTTCCAGACTCCTAGTTATCTAGAGAGGGAGTTCAGCTCTCCCAAGCCTGCCTGAGCCTGTCCGTGTCAGGGAGGGAGGCCGTAAGTTTGGGGAGAAAGACAAAGACACAGGCCTACGAAAATCACTTCCTTACTTTACTCATTATCTTCCCCTTCCCACCCATTGCAAGCCATTAAGAAAAGGAAAAAGTGACCAGTGCTGGGACCAGGAAGAGATGTGCTGTGGGGGAAGGACTACTGTGGTGGGCATCTTGTCCAGATCTAAGGGCTACTTGCCAAGGCCACATGAACCCTGTATGGGTTCCTCAGAGGTGTGGGTGCTCAACCCACACCAGGATGCACAGTCCAGCCCTCTGTGGCTCTCAGCACCCTCCCACCCATGTGTGGTGAGCAGTTGTGTATAACGGTTCCTAGTTAGCCCTTGGGTTGGGAAGGGCTGAGCGTGGGAGAATCAGGGTGGAGAAGAAGCCTGGTTGCGATTAGAGGGATTGCAGCATGCTTGATTTTTTTTTAGTCAACTGGTCATCCCTGCAGATGGGTGAAGAGTGGAGGGGGTGTTTGAACTGACCCTGGCTTCTTGGCAAGCATTCAACAGAGGCCACTATCGGTCCTGAGCACAGCCCAAACACCTATTTAGTCCTGAAAACCCTGACGTGAGGTGTGGAGCTGGAGGAGACCTAGAGGAAATAGAGGAAATACTCATTCCGTTGGAGAGGGCTGGTCTCTTTTGCCTTGGAAGCTGCCCCAGTTAGATGAGGAGACAGAATTACATACTCAAGAGAATAATTTGCAAGAGCACAGCTGGATGATTTCATTTTCCAGGCATCCTTAGCCTGTGTCTCTATCTAGACAGTGGTTCCCTCAAGCATAGGACTGAGTTAAAACTCTTTTACCTTGCCTGACATGACACTGGTTTAAATTTTAAAAAATTTCTTAGTAGACAAACTCAAATTCTGGATTCAGATTGAGGCTTCTCCCTGTTTACCCACAGAGAAAACTTTGGTAGCAACCTGCTTCACCTTGTACCCTGAAAAAAATTACTCAACTCTCACCCACTACTGAAAGACCTGTGTGGAAATGAAAATCTGGTATAAAAACAGTCCTCTTTCTACAATGAACGTGTCTGTCTTGTGTAACTACAAAACATTATCCATGGGGCCAGGCACAGTGGCTCATGCCTATAATCCCAGAACTTTGGGAGGCCAAGGTGGGCAGATCGCTTGAGTTCAGGAGTTCAAGACCAGTCTGGCCAACACGGTGAAACCCTATCTCTACTAAAAGTACAAAAATTAGCCGGGCATGGTGGCGCATCCCTGTAATCCCAGCTACTTGGGTGGATGAGGCAGGTGAGTTGCCTGAACCCGAGAGGCGTAGGCTGCAGTGAGCTGAGATCACACCACTGCACTCTAGCCTGGGCCGCAGAGTGAGACGCTGTTTCAAAAAAAAAAAAAAAAAAATTATCAATGGAAGTTTTAAGAAAGACAGAAAGGCCCTCTAAAAGATACTGTGTCCAAACTTTCTCTCACCCTTCCATGTCTCTTTTTAATTGCCTGGTTTCACTATAGATTGCCCCCAAATTAGCCACAGTCCAGAGCCTGTTTCCCAGCAACCGAAGGTCAGAACAGTTTTCCTCTGGATACTGTTCCAGCACCGGTTTCATCCAGTTAATTAGGTTCTTTGTAATTAGCCTTAATCGTCTTGTTAGGGGCCCCTGCTGGTAATAGCCCGATAGCCAGGAATCCCCAGGTAGAACAAATGAGTGCCGGGAGACTGTCAACCCAGGAACCCTATGTGCATGCTGAATGGGCAGCAGGGATCCTAGAGAGAAGGGAGGATGGGGGCGGGGGAGGGGAGGGCAGTTGAAGGAAAGGGGAGGATTGGAGGCAACCCCCTGCTACGGCTTTGTATTTTATCCTGGACTTTGTCCAAGATGCAGGATCCAAGGAAGACCGGCTTAGAATCTTGTCTAAGAATGAGGAACATGTCCCTGTCAGACAGACTCGAGGGAAGAGAGACATCTGAGCCTTTCCTTAACTTCGGATTACAGAGGGATTTGGGAGGCAGAAAGAGAAGACTATGGATACTATAAGCAGCCAGGAGTGAGACTGTGGGATAAGAAATCCACAGAACAAGGAGCAGGTGGTCTTGAATGCCACTGTCCACATATCAGCAGGGGCAGCATGTGTCTCATAGCCGTGGGCTGATTTGGAATCTGCTCTCCAAGTGGCCAGTGAAGGTTCAAAACATGTACTGAACACTTAGGACCAAACCTGTCAGTCACAGGTTTGACCTGTATCAGTCACAGGCTGACCAAACCTGTCAGCCACCATCTCCATGTCATGTGGGGAAACTGAGCCTCAGAGAAGTTAAGTGGCAGAACCAGGTTCACAACCTAAGGTGACTAAATTCACCCTTTTTATCACAGTTCAGTGATACTATTTGGGGGAAACACATTCATGTTGTTTATCTGTCCCTGGCTTTAGCCTGGGAATTCCATCCAAGAGCCCAGGGATGGACTGTCAGTCTCGGAGGGCAATCCTGTGATTCGGAAGCCAGCTCTAGTGTGAGAATGGTTTTGTTGCCCGGACAAGCCTCTGTCCCTCGCTCTGTGGACACCCTGTTGGACAGACACTAACACACATGCACACACAGAGGGCTGTCATTTGCACCAAAGCACAGACCCTAGGACTATGCAGAAGAGCCACCTCTTACTCTCTAAGACCATACTCCCCGACACAGCCCTGCATCCCTTGGAATGGAGAGTGACATAGAGGGACAGGGAGAACATGCAGCCCATGACAGCTCAGGATGAGTTGTACAGAGTGCACACTGTGGAATCAGGAAGGCTTCAAATCCTATGACAGAGCAGCGGTCTTAAAAACCACCAGGAGTCAGCAGGGAGAAGGTCTCCTTTCCCCACGAGGTCTGGGGATCTCTCCTAACAGATGGGCCAGGAAGTTACTTCACCTGTGGAGTTGCATCTGGCAAGCAATTTGGAAACATGAATGGACATGCTTCTCAGAAATCAACAGGCCTGGGAACTGAACACTGCTTTGGGGGCCAGAAATCTAGTAGTGAGCCTGGCAGGCAGAAAGAAGCATATCCACTGCAGACAGGCTGAGAAGGCTGGGTGGCCCTGTTAGTGTCTTGTCGTGTCTCAGAGCTGCACTGTAACTTAGGAAACTGATGGTCTGGCTGATGTTGGAAAGAATTATCATTGATCTAGTTGAGGTTTTCATCAGCACAATGTCCCCTGATTCCCTACTGGAGATGCAGCCAAGGGCCATACAGACTCTGTACCTGCAGCAGGTCAGAAGAGCAGCCTCTGTGTAAGCTTGCATCAGTCAGCTGGTATGACAGACTGCCATCATAGTCCTCCTTCCATCGTTATCTTTCTGACCTCTCTTACCTGTTTGCTTTTTTGGTGGATACCTAAAAGGAACCATAACTGTTTGGTTGTTTGGCTGAATTGTTGGTTATTCCTTTTTGTGCCTCTCTTTCTGCCTTTGTTCCTGGGTAAGGAGAACCCAAGGCTTTGAATGTTGGACAGAATTTGAAGAATGGCGATGGAAGTGCTGTAGAGCCTTAAATCCCACCAACCCCCTGTGCTCACATGCACGCTGGCAAGGATTCTCTAAGCCCCCCAGGCCCCCTGAGGCTCCCCTGTTGCTGTGGTCTGCACAGCCAGAGCTGTCCAGTCCTCTGGAACCCATGGAAGATGATTCCCTTCTGCTGAGGATTCATGGGAAAGCTACTTTCCTCCTAGAAGTAAGGAGACAACTTTGCAGCTGGGCACGGTGGCTCACACCTGTAATCCTAGCACTTTGGGAGGCTGAGCCAGGCAGATCACTTGAGGTTTGGCACTCAAGACCAGCCTGGTCAACTTGGTAATACCCTGTCTTTACTAAAAATAAAAAAATTAGCTGGGCATGGCAGCACACATCTGTAATCCCAGCTACTTAAGAGGCTGAAGCAAGAGAATCACTTGAACCCAGGAGGCGGAGGTTGCAGTGAGCCAAGATCTCACCACCACACTCTAGCCTGGGTAACAGAGCAAGACTCCATCTCCCCGCCCAAAAAAAAAAAATTATATATATATATGTTTGCAAACCAAATACATTGGGTAGTGGCCCTGCTTTTGTAGAAGTCTGACCCAGCCCAGCTGTGGAGAGCATATTCTGAGTCTGGAGCCAAAGCTCTTGGCTTGAGGACCCATCAAGGAATCATACAAGGAAGTTGTTTATTGCAGAAATGTGAGTTTACATCACTGAGCCACATACTCTCCTAAGGACCCTAGGCTTCCCACCTGTGTTCTAAGGAGGCCCCTGCCCGCCCAGAGCAGTTTCACCTGATTCACTTATTTTGGCCAAATACTAGAAGGGAAGAGGCGATTAGAGTTTCTTGTACTACAGCCCCACCAGTTGACAATAGCAAAATGGAAACCTGGACTTGCCCAGAATGGGAAGAATGATATTATGGTTTGGGGGACCGAAGTTCTGAGAAGTGTAGTGAGGTCAAAGCATTGGCCTAATACTATCCAAAGAATAAGAGATGTGAAAATTCAGCAGGCCAGAAGAAACAAGACTGAGTTTTCCTGAACCAGCCTCAGTGGTAGAACCTTCCCTAGAGCTCCCAGAAATAGGAGTCCCCTTAGAAGTAGCCTTATTTCTTGCCCTAAACAAGCCAGTACCATTTTATATTATTATTTGCATATCCTGCTTTCTTTCTTGGAGGAAAAAGGCATAAATATCAGGTTTAGCCAGTAAGGCAGATGCAGCAGCCCAGCAGTGAAGCGTCTCCCTCTTCAGTCAGCAAATCTGTAAAGAACTGACTCCACTCACCTCTCCAGCCTCATCTGCTACCACTGGAACCTTATACTTGAACCAGATTAGATTACTAGTTGTTCTTTAAAAACCTCCATTTCCTCATCTGTCAAATGGGCTCATCATCATCATAATCTTACAGGATTGTTAGTAGAACCTAATGATGAATAACTGAAGTACTTAGAACCCAGCATGTAGTAAGCACTTAGAAATGTTAATGCTGGGGCCTGGCGCAGTGGCTCACGCCTATAATCCCGGCACTTTGGGAGGCCAAGGTGGGTGGATCACAAGGTCAACAGATCGAGACCATCCTGGTCAACATGGTGAAACCCCATCTCTACTAAAAATACAAAAATTGGCTGGGCATAGTGACATGCGCCTGTGGTCCCAGCTGCTCTGGAGGCTGAGGCAGGAGGATTGCTTGAACCCAGGAGTCAGAGGTTGTGGTGAGCTGAGATCGTGCCATTGCACTCCAGCCTGGGTAACAAGAGCAGCACTCCAGCCTGGGTAACAAGAGCAAAACTCCATCTCAAAAAAAAAAAAAAAAGGAAATGTTAATGCTGGCCGGGCACAGTGGCTCATGCCTGTAATCCCAGCACTTTGGGAGGCCGAGGCAAGCAGATCACCTGAGGTTGGGAGTTTGAGACCAGCCTGACCAACATGAAGAAACCCCATCTCTACTAAAAACACAAAATTAGCTGGGCATGGTGGTGCATGTCTGTAATCCCAGCTGTTCAGGAGGCTGAGGCAGGAGAATCACTTGAATCCAGGAGATGGAGGTTGCAATGAGCCGATATCGCGCCATTGCACTCCAGCCTGGGCAACAAGAGCGAAACTCTGTCTCAAAAAAAAAAAAAAAAAAAAAAAATAGAAATGTTAAGGCCATCTAGCTTGTAATATACACCTAATAAATATCTGTTGAATGAATGACTGAAGTGTATGACTTCCCTCTTGCCTCTGACTTTGCACATCCTGCTTCCTCTCCCCAGAATACTCTCCCATTTCCTTATTGACTTGCTTCTATATAACTTTTAAAACTCAACTCAGATGTTTTCTTTACCTGGAATCCTTCCTGGCTGCTCTGGTTGTAACCTAAGTGTGGTGTTTCCCCTTTGCACCCCACTGGCATCTCACCTTTACCTGAATAATTAGAGTTACCACCTTGAACGTCATGGCCTCCTAGTTTGTCTCCCCAGTAGACTGTGGGCATCTTGAGGGTGGAGGGTGAATCCAGCCACACCCTGAAGGGTACTTGCTACATGAATGTTTGCACTTGTGAATATAATAATTGCGTTAAAACTGTACCTAAAATTTGTTGAATGCTCACTGTTCCCCCGTGATTATGCTGGGAATTTTTTTGCATTATCTTCTTTAACTTTCACAAAAATCCTAATCAGTAGAGGCAGTTATAATTATTCCCATTTGTAGGTAACAAAAAAGGCTTAGGATAAGTAACTTGCCAAGGTCAAGGCCATAGCTGGGATTTGAACCCAAGTGTCAGAGCTCCTAACCATTATATTACACTATCATTTTGTTCAAATCGGAGTTTGGTATGTGTTATATCACAGTTGTATTTTGTAACTTAGCTAAATGAAGCAGCAACTAAAAACGGGGAACTGTGAGCTGTTCTTATGAGGTTTGTGTTTCATTGTAGGTTCGGACAAGTGGACCTCCCTAGAAAGAAAACTGTTTAACAAAGCACTAGCCACTTACAGCAAAGACTTTATTTTTGTACAGAAGATGGTAAGCATGATTTTTTCCACTGCCCCCTTGAAATTAAATTTGGGAAACTGTACACAAAAATATTTAGAAATATTTGGTTACTGGTTTAAGATACTTACGAAGAGGATGTCTTCCACACTCGCTGGTGAGGGTGGTTGGGGACATAGGGGTGGTGTGGCCCCAGTGTTAGGAGTGTGGCAGGGAGAGGACAGGAAAAGAAGGCATAGACTATCTGGACACTGCAGTGGTGTGGGCTTATTTTCTATCTTAATAAAAATGTGTAATTCAGGCCGGGCGTGGTGGCTCAAGCCTGTAATCCCAGCACTTTGGGAGGCCGAGGCGGGTCGATCACGAGGTCGAGAGATCAAGACCATCCTGGTCAACATGGTGAAACCCCGTCTCTACTACAAATACAAAAAACTAGCTGGGCGTGGTGGCGCGTGCCTGTAATCCCAGCTACTTAGGAGGCTGAGGCAGGAGAATTGCCTGAGCCCAGGAGGCGGAGGTTGCGGTGAGCCGAGATCGTGCCATTGCACTCCAGCCTGGAGCGAAACTCTGTCTCAAAAAAAAAAAAAAAAATGTGTAATTCATAATTCTATTAGAATAACTAGAACTCGGGCTCCTGGTTCGCAATTTACATAATTTTATTTATTTATTTATTTATTTATTTATTTATTTATTTGTTGAGACAGAGTTTCACTCTGTCACCCAGGCTGGAGTTCAGTGGCGTGATCTTGGCTCACTGCACCTCCTGAGTTCAACCAATTCTTCTGCCTTAGCCTCTAGAGTAGCTGAGATTACAGGCATGCACCACCATGCCCGGCTAAGTTTTGTATTTTTAGTAGAGATGGGGTTTCATCATGTTGGCTAGGCTGGTCTTGAACTCCTGACCTCAAGTGATCCACCTCCTTCAGCCTCCCAAAGTGCTGGGATTACAGGTGTGAGCCACCATACCTGGCCATACATAATTTATTTTGTGTCTATTTGACAAACCTATCACATTTCTGACAGAATCTTTTTCTGGGAAACTGGGGAGAGGAGAATGTGTGGCCTCCCTCTACCCAGTAGCAGAGTTTCTGGTGTCGAACTCCCAATTATAATGATAGTCATAATAAAAATACCTAGTATATACAGCATTTTAAAGCAAAATAAAACTTGCACATAGATGAAATAGCACTTTATGCAACAGATAAACTTACTGACTTTATTGGCTAAGAGGTGATTTAGCGTAAAAAATTAAAACCATTCAAAGAGTGTTTCAACAAATTGATGAATGATGGAGCCATATTGTGTTAAAGACAGTTAAGGCTGTTCAGGTCCACAGAGAACAGGGCCACCGGTGACAGTGCCCACTGGCTCCTGGCTGGGACAGACGGTCCTCGGAGGTGTCTAGGGTGGCATTTCTCCTGTCGTCAGTCCAGAGCCTTGCCTGGACAAACATGAGAAGCAGGAGGACTTTGTCTCTGACTTTCCTCCACCTCCGTGTCTGCATTTACTCCTGCCCTGCCCTTCGCAGCCGCCATGCCTTTACTGCCCTGTGTGCCCGGCAGCTCTCATGCTCCATCTTTCTTGAGTCACCCTCCCCCCAGGACTGGCCTGGCATAGACCTCAATCCTTGAAGGCCCCACACTGTTGTCTGATGATGGATTCGTGTATCGGAGCTTACCCGGCAACGTGGGTTTTAACCCAGGGCCCTCTGGGGTGGACACTATCCTCTCTCCCTCGGATGATTCTAGTGTGGAAATTCCAGGTGTTGGGGATGAGAAGGGGACAACTTTGAGGAAACAGGACTTGGTGCCCCTCTCATCTCACTGTGTAGGTGACCTTGTTCCCACCCTCAAGGGTAAGGCCAGCCTTTAATCTGAATCCAGCAAACCCACATTATTACACCTCACCTGATCGTAGAGCATATAAACTAAACAAAGGAATGGTTTTGCCTTAAGATGCACAGATCTTTGCCTCTTTGAGATTGAACAGGGCAAGGCCCATTTCCTGCAAAATCTAATCTCCGTCATCATAACTTTTGCCTTATATTCCTATCCTATTACTAAGGAACATTTCTCATAAGCAGATTTTGAAGGTCAAGTTAGAGCCATTCAAGTATATTAAATGAAAAAGCAGCTGTTTTATGGGTTAAGAAAAATGAGTAAGTGTGTAAGGACTGATCTGAAAAAATTTCCAAGCTATATTACAAAAAAAATGAAGTTGCAAAGCAGTATTTGTAGTGTTTTGTGAGGAAGGATGGTGGGGGAAGGAATATATTTGTATGTATGTTGGTTAGTACATGCCTTAAAAAATTCTGGAATGAGGCTGGGTGTGTTGGCTCATGCTTGTAGTGCCAGCACTTTGGGAGGCCAACCCAGGAGGATCACTTGAGGTCAGGAGTTTGAGACCAGCCTGGCCAACATGGTGAAACCCTCTATGAAAAAATGAGCCGGGTGTGGTGGTGGGTGCCTGTAATCCCAGCTACTCGGGAGGCTAAGGCAGGAGAATCGCTTGAATCCTGGAGACGGAGATTACAGTGAGCTGTGATCACGCCACTGTACTCCAGCCTGGGCGACAGAGTGAGACTCCATCTTAAAAAAAAAAAAAAAAAAAAAATTCTGGAATGATAAGAAATTAACGCAAGGGGCTACCTGTATTGCATGGTGAGGGGTGAGGACAGGCATGGGAAGAAGGCCTTTCACTGCATACTTTTTTCTCTCGAACTGTATAAACTTGTTTATTACCTATTACAAAATTAAATATTCAAGAAATCCTGCTGCCTCTGCTCTCTGCCCACTCCCAGAGCTAACCTTGAGCTCTCTTTCCCGGCAGGTGAAGTCCAAGACGGTGGCTCAGTGTGTGGAGTACTACTACACGTGGAAAAAGATCATGCGGCTGGGGCGGAAGCACCGGACACGCCTGGCAGAAATCATCGACGACTGCGTGGTGAGTAGAGCTGCTAAGTCACTGCTTGTGCTGGCGCAGCTCCCACCCCAGGCCCAGGTTAGTAAGCGGCTGGTATTTGGTTTGGCTTTGCTGCCAAGATAGCCGGAGTAAGGAAGTGACAACAGCCCCCCTTCCCTGCAGGATTCAGGACCTGCCCTCCTGAGTAGGTAGAGGAAAGGCGTCCATAGGTTTGGCCTGTAGCTCAGTGTTCAGATACAGAGGTAAGGGCTAGCGCCCACTTCAAGGCAGCTAGGAGCCAGAAGAGTTAAACCAAGGATGGTCCTAGCCTTGACTTTGTTGGTTTATGATTGGGTGCCTGACCCCCTGGAATATTCTTTTCTGATCTTTCTGTGTCATAGATGCTATTGACCTGAGACCATAATGTGCCTCAGAAAGGGGCCCTGGGATTTTGCCACAGTCCGTAAAGCATGAGCAAGAGGAGCTTTGACCTGTAGGTAGTCCCAGGAACCCTCCATCACTGAGGAGCTAATTCACTGCATGTAGATGATACTAATCCTTACATCACCATTTATCCCTGGGATTGATTTCCTTCATTAGCACACAGTCCACAGTCAACTGCACATTAAGTACGTACAAATGACCCAACAAGACCTAACTAGTCTCTGAACCCTGTATGTGTGGCTTTGATGATTACCATCACTTGTGATCCTTGTAATTAACTCTCCACCCTGCATCTATAGCCACAGGAAATCTCCTTTTTACACTCTGTGTAAAACGTTATCACCTACCACATATGTGTATATAAAAATTATGTCTTGGCCAGGCGTGATGGCTTATGCCTGAAAGGCTGAGATGGGGGGATCACAAGGTCAAGAGATCGAGACCATCCTGGCTAACATGGTGAAACCCTATTTCTACTAAAATACAAAAAATTAGCTGGGCATGCTGGAGGCGAGGCGGGTTCCAGTGAGCCAAGATCACACCACTGCACTCCAGCCTGACAATAGAGTGAGACTCTGTCTCAAAAACAAACAAACAAACAAACAAAAATTGTGTCTTACAACATTAATAAACTCTAGCTTCTGTCACCATCAGTGGAAGTATTGGGAATTCATGAATTATGTAAATATTTGAAATTATATTTTAATCCCAATTGTGCCCCAGTTGTAAGGGTTAACATGTGTGTGTTATTTTCTTTAACAGACAGTGAAATAGCAGTTTTCATGTGCCAGACATTGTGTTAGGGACTTTATAAATATTGACTCATTTAATTTAATGTAATTCATTTAATACCAGTTCTTTGTGGTAGGAAACCGAGGCACAAGAGTTTAAGCAAATTGGCCGTAGTCACACAGCTGCTGAGTATATTGTTGAACCTGACTCCTTTGTGTAGTTAAGAGCAGTCAGATGCAACTTTTCTTTTGTTTGTTTGAGACAGGGTCTCACTTTGTCACCCAGGCTAGAGTGCAGTGGCACAATCATAGCCTCAACTTCCTGGGCTCAAGCAATCCTCCCACCTCAGCCACCTGAGTAGCTGGGTCTACAGCCACACAGCACCACACCCCGCTCATTTTTTAGTTTTTTGTAGAGGCAACATCTCACTGTGTTGCCCAGGTTGGTCTCGGACTCCTAAACTTAAGCAATCCTCCTGCCTTGGCCTCCCAAAGTGCTGGGATTACAGGCTCACCCCTGTAATCTCAGTCTACTGCACTTGGCCACACATTTTCTTAAAGAAGTGTAGAAAAATTTGAACTCATTAATGCTTCAAAGCCTATGCTTTTAACTAAGAATTGATCCTAGCTATGAAATATACATACATATATACATTTATGTTTGAGTCCAAATATCAGAGAAAATGGAAATCTGTAGAATAGTATTGCCATTTTTTTCAATCAGAGTTGATAGTATTCTGTATGCAGGCTTTCTTGTGACCAGGGTTTTTGTTTGACTCATTTAAGTAGTGATGTATTATATCAGAATAGTTTTTCATTCATCTGTGGCCTAATGTTTAAAAAAAACAGTATGATCTCCTCCAGTTCAGTCACCTAAAAGCAGTTGAACTCCCACAATGTAAACAGCAATGTGTATGTAGCACTGTGGGTAACCCGAGGATGTTAAATGGTGCCTCCCTCCTCTCCCCGCACCGCACAGAGCATATGTCCTTGCTTGGAAGATGTAACATATGCAAGTGGAAATATACCACAAACCCCAAGAGTGTTTAAAAACAGTTTGCATCTGGATGTGGTGGCTCACGTCTGTAATCGCAGCACTTTGGGAAGCCGAGGTGGGCAGATCACCTGAGGTCAGGAGTTTGAGACCAGCCTGGCCAACATGGTGAAACCCCATCTCTACTAAAAATACAAAATTAACCAGGTGTGGTGGCACACACCTGTAGTCCCAGCTACTTGGGAGGCTAAGGCAGTAGAATCGCTTGTACCCAGGAGGCAAAGGTTGCAGTTAGCCAAGATCATGCCACTATACTCTAGCCTGGGCAACAGAGTAAGACTCTGTCTCAAAAGAAAAAAACAAAAAAAAAAAACAAAAAAACAGTTTGCAATGAGAACTGGAAAGTCTTAGATACAGCCTTAAGGACTCTTTCATCCAACTTCACCATTTTATAGGCAGAAAGTTGAGACCCAGAGAGGGGAAGGGGCTTGCCCAAGGTCACACAGAGCATTGCTTTCCAAATGAGTAGAAGAGAGAGTAAACAAGGAAGCACAAAGATTCCTAGCCTCGAAGACCTAGGCCTTGCTCCTAGGCTTGCTGGCCTGTAAGAGGGCAAAATCAGATGATATGGTCTTCTAAGGTAAATTGGTGTATCTTAGGCTTCGATGTTACCAAGTGCCTAGGACAGCGCCTGGCATAATACAGTCACTCAATAAATTAATGAGTGAATATTTTTCCAAGATAGGAGTCACTCTGGTTCATAACAACATTCCTTCTGTGAATTCACTGGAGGGAGATGGAATGAACAGGGGATGCTGAGCACAGGAGTGACACTAACAAAGATGGTTCCACACAAGGCAGAGGCACCATTTTGGACTGCCTGGGCTTTGAAGATGGATAAGAAGGCCCAGGCCAGCATGAAGCCTCAGTTTAAGAAGAAGAGGGTAAGAGGGTGCCCGAGGGGCCACACCTTCTTGAGTTTATTCACCAGGAGCCAGTATTAGGCTGGGCCAGGAGTATCCACACCCTCATTACTTGTAAGCTTTAGGGAGAGCAAAAGGCTTATGTGCAGAGATGACTCAGGCCCACAAAAACAAGAAAATCTTGATTAAAGGCCAATATGGCAGCTCACAGCTCCTTTGTGGGTACTATGTGCACAGTCAGCCTTCTGAGGATAGTTTCCCAAGTGGAGATGAAAAATTGGGATGCTGGGGAGGGTGTGCACTAGGGTGCACAAGGCACAGTCCTAGGATGTGGTCCTACTCTTTGTCCTCGGGGCCTACCTGGGACACCTGGGACAGCTCTCCTGATCAAGTATCTTCAATGTTTTGCGAAAGGGCGGGTGACCATTTCCCTCCAGGTGGAACATGAAGGAACATGCTCAGGTAGCTCAGGAATTACTGAGGACTTGAGAGAGAGGAAAGGAAGGAAGTTTGAAAGGAATGATTGCCTTTTAGCTAAGTAGCTGGAGATCAACAGAGCACAGTTGCTTCCTCAGCAGGGGCAGTGTGGTTGGAAACAGAAGAAGGGAGCCAACATGGGTTCTGTTAATGAGGCGAGAGGAGAAGGTGCTTGCCACACCTTCCTGTCCCCTGTCTGTGCTCGTACTCCCCGACTCAGGACAAATATATGGGGCTGGCTGTTAACTGACTGTGGAAAAAAGCAATCAGGGATCCAAGGGCAAAGGTAGAAGTCACCGTGGCGTCAGCACAGTTACCTGCAGCACAGGGCACTGATGAGGGCCTTGGGAAACATCCTCCTTCCCTTTGACATTTTAAAGCAGCTGGTTCCCATGATATTGAGAGGTTTAGGATTTCTAAGCTGTTTACAGATGGACAAATGTGCACCTGTAGACATTTGCAGCAGGTCCAAGGAGTGAAGGAGGCTGAGGTTTTGGAATAAGATAGACCCAGTTTTGAATCTCAGTTCAACTTTTTTACCAGATGTGTGACCTTGAGAAAGTTACTTCTTGGGTCAATGTCTCATTTGTTTAAAACTGAAAAAAAATTTTACAGTTTTGTGAGAACTAGTGTGTGTGTGTGTGTGTGTGTGTGTGTGTGTGTGTGTGATGCATGATTCTTAGCAGGCAGTCAATATTGTCATTATCATCATTGTCATTAGTGACCATAACACTCAAATTTGTGTCTTTGAGCAGATTTGGGTTGTTGAGCATTTGCATTCTAACTTACACATTTCTCATCATATGAATTCCATTTGCATGCCTGAGAAGTAAAAATATCCTCCTCGAGAAACTTATTGTGGACACTCAAGGTTCTGAACACCATGTTAAATGTATAGCCTCCTACCCACCCCATATTTGCTCGTCTTCTAATTTTGGAATATACTAAATGTTTTGTTTCACAATATATCATAAAATGATCAACCTGGCCAGGCACGGTGGCTCACGCCTGTAATGCCAGCAGTTTAGGAGGCTGGATCATGAGGTCAGTAGTTCAAGACCAGCCTGGCCAATATGGTGAAACCCCATCTCTACTAAAAATACAAAAATCAGCTGGGCATGATGGCGCATGCCTGTAGTCCGAGCTGCTCGGAAGGCTGAGGCAGGAGAATAACTTGAACCCAGGAGGCAGAGGTTGCAGTGAGCTGAGATTGCACCACTGCACTCCAGCCTGGGTGGCAGAGCGAGACTATCTCAAAAAAAAAAAAAAGACCAACTTGTTGATACAAAGTTCTACATGTTAAGATTTCTGTTGTTCTATCTTTGTACCTCTTAGTCACTTTGGTGAGCCATATGGCTTGATGATAAATCATATTGCGATTTATAGATTGCCAGTTGAAATAAAACCTATCTAAATCCTTGAGACATACATAATCATGGTACAGTGTGATTTAATCTCTAATTTTGTGGCTGTATGGAACATGTCTTCTAAAAATGTTTAAGCCAAACAATGCCGTTGTGAGAAAATTGTCGTCATAACAAACACCATGAAAGAAATGCCATTGTCATTCGTTGTGTACACTTATTTTTAAATGCCAAACTGTAGGCCATGGGCTACTTAATGTTTGAGGCCACAGAGTCTCAGTTTGACATACCATGGTTTTTGCCTGAAACTCTTTGGGTTGGAAAGATGGTACAGTCCTACAGGAATAAGACCACCTAAGTGAGATCAACCTGTATGTTTTAAACTAGTAAGAGACTGACTGCTTATATCATAAGTCACTTTGTCGAATGTGCTAGGTCTACATCAGTGTTCACTGAGGTCTTCTAACAAATGTGATCATTACTAATTAATCCTGTTTACCCAGTGGAAACTGGTGCCATTTCTTAAGTACATTGTGTTTATACCGCATTGTAAGTAAGCATGTTATATAAGGACAATACTGAAACAGTGAGGGGCTACTAAATGCCACATACATACTGGCATTCTCTCTCTCTCTCTCTCTCTCTCTCTCTCTCTCTCTCTCTCTCACACACACACACACACACACACACACACACACATACACACACACACACACACCCCAAATCCAAACTGCAGAGAGGAAGCTTGTGGTTTCTGGGTCCTAAGGTATCACTACTTTCCGAAATCTTTATCTTTCTTGGAAAGTCTTGCTTCTGAGCTTTAAAAATCACGGGCTTTGGGCCGGGCGTGGTGGCTCACGCCTGTAATCCCAGCACTTTGGGAGGCCGAGGCGGATGGATCACGAGGTCAAGAGATCGAGACCATCCTGGTCAACATGGTGAAACCCCGTCTCTACTAAAAATACGGAAAATTAGCTGGGCATGGTGGCGTGTGCCTGTAATCCCAGCTACTCAGAAGGCTGAGGCAGGAGAATTGCCTGAACCCAGGAAGTGGAGGTTGCGGTGAGCCGAGATCGCGCCATTGCACTCCAACCTGGGTAACAAGGGCGAAACTCCCTCTCAAAAATAAATAAATAAATATAAATAAAAATAAATAAAATAAAAATCATGGGCTTTGCAACTCTATGCTCTGCCCTCAGATGGCAGGGGAAAAAAAAGAATCATGGGCTCCCCAGTTACACCACTGTCAGGGGTAAAGTAGACTGGAGCCCACGCGTGTTAAGTGATAAGTTATGCAGAGAGCCTGGCAGAGACAAATGACCTGCCAGGTCAGGGGCAGCTGGACATGCCTTTTCCTTCCCTGTTTATAAAACAGGAGGACTGTTTACAGCCTATTCAGTGGCATAGTAAATGTGAAAGCACTTAGTAAACTGTACAATAAAAGCTGAAATGAGGTTGATTGGTCCTAAGCCCTTTTGGGGCCTGCAGAAGCCAGCAACCCTCACACCTACCCTGGGAAGGATTGAGAGAACAGAATAAAGTAGTTAGTTAAGCAAGGGGAGAATGAGAGCCTCCTGGATTCCTGCCCTTCCATCCTGGCACACCCAGGGCACCCACTTCCAGCTATTCCAGTAACTTACTGTTCTGTTAACCTTGAGGAAGGCAGGGACCTTCTGCTTAATTCTCCACACGGCTGCTGTTCTGAAGTGGGGAGAGGGACCATAGAAGCGGAGGAAATCATTATTCACAGGAAATATTTTCTCTTTCTTTTTCATTAAATGCCTCTGGTAGGAGAAAGTGAATAAATAGAAACATTGAATACACTGCTTTTTCTGAGCCCGTGGTCAGAGACAAAAGGAAAAGCACGTGATAAATAAAAGGGAATCTCCCGTTCCATTTTCTCTCCTTTCATTCGATTTTCTGACAAGACCAGAGTGGAGCGCCCCTTGTGTCACATGCTTTCTGCACCCCGCAGGTCAAATCCGGCATCCTGCCCAGTGGTGGTGTGTTATAAAGCCTCTAAAACAAATCAGCATAGATCCTTCTTTAGTCTCTCTCCAAGGGGGATTCCACAGTATCGTTACTGCTGGGAAACCTTTTCACCGCTGTGAAGAGAGAGAGCTACTCACGGGCAGGCTGCCCGAGTTTTAGTCATTTTAAGATCTGATGGTCTTGAACAAGGTAGGGAATCCTTGCATATAAAAACTGCTCCTTTCTACCTCGCCATGTCTTTATGTAAGTGATGAGGGGTCCCAAAGTGGGGCAGGGGACTTACTTCCTTCACTTCAAAGTCCTAAGCATCCGGAGACCAACCTTTTTGGGTTCATACCTAGCAGGCTCTGTCCGCTGTTCCTCATGCAGAAGGAAAGGAACACAGCCCCAGCATCCGGCCCCACTCTCCTCTGTTGGTCTGTGAGTTCTTTTCATCACTAAGAATGCCATTTGAGGATTTTCCCCTCTTGCTTTTATTACCTTAACACTAGACAAGTGAAGAAGAAGAAGAGTTAGAGGAGGAGGAGGAGGACCCGGAAGAAGATAGGAAATCCACAAAAGAAGAAGAGAGTGAGGTGCCGAAGTCTCCGGAGCCGCCACCTGTCCCAGTCCTGGCTCCCACGGAGGGGCCGCCCCTGCAGGCCCTGGGCCAGCCCTCAAGCTCCTTCATCTGTGAAATGCCCAACTGTGGGGCTGTAAGTGTGTCTGTGTCATCCGGGGAGCTGGGACAAGGGAGGGCCATATAGCTGTGCCTGGCTTTAAGAGATGACATATTTTTGAGAGGGCTCTTCCGGCAATCACAGTTTGGCAGACGGTGCTCCATTTTGCCATAGTTTTCTTCTTCACTGGCCAGCAGGTATTTCCAGAGTGTGTGTTCTGTGTCAAGCACAATGCTGCGTGTTGGAGAACACAAAGAAGGCCCCTGTGCCTAGCAAGTGTGTGATTCCAAGCTCCGCAGCCAGCGTTGGCCTCCAGAACATACATTCCACATTTCCTGGAGCTTCCGCACTCCCCTGGGCTGTGTGTCACACAAGCTTGTGCCCTGTCGACGTGCATTTAAATGTACTAGGAGAGCCTGCTGACAAAGATCATCCTTTTATGACATAATTACTTACCCCACCTCCTGCATTTTTACCTATTAGAAGGTTTTGCATTTCACATTTTACAAAGTGTGACTAATTGAAATGTCACTAATTTAAAATTTGAGAATATCATTACAAAGGTGTAACTAAAGTTTATCTTTGTACTCTATGGCAGAGAAAAAAAAAGATTTACTAAAAGTAAATTCATCGTGTAAACAGGCTGAAAGGGACTGTGTGTCAATACTGAGCCTAGTACTTTACAAGAATTTTAGAAGCATAATTGAGCTAAAATAAAACAAGTTCACCATTTGGTCATTCTTAGCACTAAAGAAAGACCTTATAGTATCTGTGCTGGCCTTGTCTAAGGCTCCATGTATATTTTAAAGGATATTTTTAAAGGTTATTTCTCAGTCTCCCACCGGTCCCCCACTAGTCTGAATTAGTGAGCTTTCTCCAAATCAGGTTTCTTAAAGCCAGGCACACCTGTATAGGCAAGTTCTAAAGGGATTACCCCTCAAAATAATGTTGCCCCTTCCCCAGGAAGCCCATTTTCCTCAAGTCAGTGTGGTTGTCTTTGCTCGTACTTGATGTAGGACAGTGCTGTTCTCCAGAGTATATTGGATGCTGCTTATTAAGTCTGTCACTTAGATGAAGAAGGCAATAGTCTTCAAAATATTTAGATCCTAAACCAGAAAGTCATTTGATTTGCATTTAAGAAAAAGTGAAAAAGTTTTTTTTGTTTGTTTGTTTGTTTTTTAATTTTTACATTTTCCATTCACTGTTCACTCTGGAGAGAACAGAAGAGATTGCTGGCTTGTTTTCCATCTTTTATGTTTAATGACCTGGCCATTTTGTTTAGAGTGTTCAGTGCAGCCATGATTACGATAATGATTTTAAGTGATGGTATTTCTTGGTGAATTTGTTCAGAAATTGGATGCCTCCTCAAATCATGGTTCTATGTACAGTAAATTGTTTACCAAATGGGAAGTTATTTTTTACTTTTCCCAATCAAATACTCAGCAAGGTAGATATTTTCCTGTTCCAATTTTTCTGTACATAAAAAAAGAAAAAAAGATTATTTTTTTTTTCTGAGACGGAGTTTTGCTCTTGTTGGCTAGGCTGGAGTGCAGTGAATGGCGTGATCTCGGCTCGCTGCAACCTCCACCTCCTGGGTTCAAGTGATTCTCCTGTCTCAACCTCCAGAGTAGCTGGTGCAGGTGCCGCCACCACGCCCAGCTGTTTTTTGTATTTTTAGTAGAGACAGGGTTTCACCATATTGGCCAGGCTGGGCTTAAACTCCTGACCTCAGGTGATCTACCCACCTCAGCCTCCCAAAATGCTGGGATTACAGGCTTGAGCCACTGTTTCTAACCAAAAGAAAAAAATGTTTTAAAATGACTTTTTAAAATCACGGTGGAAAAAGCGTGCCGATTTTTATTTTATTCCTTGCCTAACGATGGAGGCTTTGGTTGCTAAGTCAGCGATAGGTTTAAACCTGAACAGAGCTCATAAACCTAACACAGCAACTACTACAGCTAGACAGCCCAGTAGGCTCTCCCCTTAGCTGATGAGTTTAACAAGCTGGGAGTCAGGGCTCTTGGGATTCAGGGACACGGATTTACATCCCTTTATAGCGATGGTTCTGAAGTGGAGATGATTTGTTCCCCAAGAACATTTGGCAATGTCTAGAGATATTTTTGTCATAAATGGGAAGGTGCTGCTAGCATCTGGTAGGCAAACGCCAGAGATGCTGCTAAACATCCTATGCAGCAGAGTCCCCCACCCATCACAACAAAGAATTATCCAGCCCAAAATGACAGTAGTACTGAGGTTAAGAAACCCAGCTTTATGGCAGGCTTTTAAAATACTGCCCAGATCCTTTCTCTTTTTATCATTCTGTATTAAAATTTGGGGGTCTTAAACATTGCTTCAACAATGGGCTACTGATTAAGGCAATATATAGCATAGAAAATTGAATCATTGTCTTTCAAACTGGGTTCCTTAGAGAGCTAGGGCTTCCTGGGGGTACAGAGAGCTGAGCAAACAGGCCCAATTCTGCAGCACTGTCTCCGTTGTAGCCAGTGCACCTCTGCTTTTAACTTGAGCCGGTATTTTTTGAGTAAGATTTGATTTGTTTAAAAAAGAAAGAGGAAGGGGGAAGGGAGGGAAAGAGGAAAGAAGGAAGAAAAATGGGAGGGAGGGAAGTTATCAGCTTTTTTAAAAGTTTGAAAGCTGGTCCAGCCCCCGCATTTTTCAGATGGAAAAAAATATACAGAAGGGAAGCGGCCCAACAGCTTTCATTATAGTAGAGCGAAACCCCTGACGTCTTGACTTCTAGACAATAGCTTTGTCCTTTATCCTGTGCCGCATTGCCTCTTCCCTTCTGGTTATAGCAGGGATGAGGTTTTGATTGGCACAGCATTTGTGGTTGTAGTATTTGATCTTTACCGTTTGTAGCATATGCCCAAAGTTTGCTTATATAAACCCTTGTGCCCTGTCATTAGACAGTTTCAAGGATCCCATGTTTACCACTGAGTAACTAACAACCCTGATTTCCTTTTCAGGACTGTAGATGTCATGTCACTCCATTTCTTCCCCAGGTGTTCAGCTCCCGACAGGCACTGAATGGCCATGCCCGCATCCACGGGGGCACCAACCAGGTGACCAAGGCCCGAGGTGCTGTCACTTCTGGGAAACAGAAGCCTGGAAGTGCCCAGAGTGGGTACTGTTCGGTGAAGAGCTCACCCTCTCACAGCACCACCAGCGGCGAGACAGACCCCACCACCATCTTCCCCTGCAAGGAGTGTGGCAAGTAGGTGCGGGGGCCCAGGGGCCGAATCTGAGTTCCTGATGGATAATTGCTCTATGGGGGCTGGGCCAGGATGGCCTGAGGTTTCTTCAATCAGAAGAAGAACGTAGACCTCAAAACTCTTCTTCCTACCGTCTTTGGGATGGATATGTAGGCTTTGTTGCAGATTCAGAATATGGCCATTCTGTTATCTTAGAACCTTGTAAGGATGGATCTCTTCAGAGAGTGAACCTCTAGTTACAAAACTTTACTCTTTCCCAGGAATGAAAGGTGGGACTCTGGTTCCCACTCCTTCCCTTTACACCCAAGCTATATTCACTAGCATTACTCTTGTTGCATCCCTGCTGAATGATTTGAGAATAGCTCTAGAACATCTAATCAGGAACTCTCTATAACACAGATGGCTCATACATGATACTCCTACCACTATCGCTTACTTCCATGCCCAGGACAGACATCAGTAATCAATCACCACACTCTTTGCTGTCACGTTAAGACAGAGCCTCAAATACTTTCCATTGACATGCTTCAAGTTGCACAACCAATTGATCAGAGTTGATAAATGAAATAAAACCTATTTGTTATACCTTTCAGGTATAATTTTAAACAACAACTAAAAAGGAAAAGTGACATGCGATAGTAATTATAATGGCTAACATTTACTGAGCACTTATTTTGTTACAAGCTTTATTTGTATGAACTCATCTCATTTTTACATAGAAACCCCACATGATACAGATACTGTTTTTTATCCTTGTTTTACAAACAAGGGTTTAAAAATTAGGTAAAATGACTTGCCCTAAGTCGCACTACCAGTAAAGGGAAGAATTGAGATTTGAACCCAGTTTCATTCAAATGCCGACCTGGGCTCCTGACCACTGCTCTGTCCTTTCGGTTCATTTGCTTTAGGTAGAAAATGTCATTGATGGTCAGATGGATGATTCCCTCCCACAGCCTCCTGTAGAGAATTCCAGTGTACTTCTCAGTGAGTCCACCTGACTGGAAGGGTACTACATTGTCACAAATTACTTCCTTTAGGAGCCTTGCTGAGTTCCTCTTCCCATAATTCCTAGTGCCTCAAGCATGAAGAGGAGTATTACCTGGAAAAGATGCTGCCCAGGTGGCTTCTGAAACTACCAGGAAAACATTTCTAGTTGCATAAGGAAGGCCAGGTGGGACCTCTCCTTGCACATCCCCACGGATAGAGCAGGCAACTTAATAGTAACTGCTGTTTAACAGGTACACTCAGTATGTGCCTGGCACTGTTGTAAAGGATTTTTTACATGTTTTAGTCTGTTTTATGTTGCTACAACGGAATGTCACTGACTGGATAATTTATAAAGAAAATAAATTTATCTCATAATTCTGGAGACTGGGAAGTTCAAGGTCAAGGGACCTGCATCCGGCAAGGGCCTTCTTGCTGAGTCATCCCATTGTAGAAGGGCAAAGAGAGGCGAGAGAGAGCAAGAGATTGAACTTGCAGCCTCATACCCTATTATAATCGGCACAAATCCATTCATGAAGGTGAGGCCCTCACCACTGAAACACCGCCCCTTAGGCCCCACCTCCCAACACAGCTGCATTAAGGATTCCATTTTCAACATGTGCTGTTCGGGGGATACATGCAACCCATAGTACGTGTACCGATAAAGCTTTAAAGTAGCTCTGTGAGGCAGGTACTTTTAGGAGCTGCTTTTTTAGAGGCAGAAACTGAGGTACAGAAAGGTGAAGCCTCTGTTGCCGTTTGTAGCAAGCGTCCTAGTGGGGATTCAAACCATGCAAGCTGGCCTGGCCTTGTGCTCCTGGCTCTATGCCATGCTGCCTCTGACTAAACCCAGCTTGGTGGCACCCACCAAAGTGAACTGGAACTAGCAGATCACTTCCCCCCATGAAGCGCAGGGATGGGAGAGGTGGGGTTCGGTGTTGGTCTCCTCCACACTCGGCTGTCCTTGCAAGCTGGCCATGCTGTCGTTTTCACATCACCACCCACCACACATTGGTGCACCATGGAAGAAATAGGCCCCCGGATTGATCTTAAGGCTTATTCAGTTGAAATGATGATGGAGCCACCCTCAGCTGACTCTCAGTGATCTCCCACCTATTTGTCCTGGAGTGGCAGTGTCGGGGTATTAGGATCTTGCCAGTTTCCCCTGAGAGGAGCCAGCACCTCCCACTCATTAGGCTCAAACGGGCTAAAACTCTACTTTCCACCAGGTGGAGACAGAGGACGATTTAACAAACAAAAATCAGCATTTCATGTTTCTCGGCCATTTCTGTGGCACCTATTAAATGGTTTTTTGGGATCTTGTTCTTAACGTTGCGTGGTAACTCTTTCTACCGGAAATCCAGTTACGATTTCATGGACAATACAGATGGTTTCTGTGGTTTTTCCTAACTCGGAATAACATTAGGCAAATATTCACAAAATACGTCTCACAGCTGCTGAAATTATGTTTGTTACATTTAACCGTTTTCAGCGTGTCTAAGTAGAATTATGGTTTATTAGCCATATTTGACTAAGGCCTTAGAAACCAGCTGTTATTTTTGTTTTTCGGTTTTTTCCTTATAAACAGTCTCACACCTGGGCACACTTCTCTGAAAAAAGGTCCAGATAGTTAATATTTGAGACTTTGTGGGCTGTACTCTCTTTGTCATAACTGCTCAGCTTTGCCACTGCAGCATAGAAACAGCCATCAACATGACATAAACAGACATGGCTGTGTGCCAATAAAACTTTATTCACAAAAGCAGTTGGGATTTGTCCCACTGACCATAATTTGCAGTCCTCTCGTCTTAAGAATTAACCCCAGTAATATATCCTTTTATCCCAGGGTTTCTTGACCTCAGCACTATCGGCATTTCCAGTCTGCTAATTACGTGCGTGGGGAAGAGGACTCTGTTCTCTGTGTTGCAGGATGTGTAGCCATTCTGATAATATCATGGCCGCCAAAAGGGTCCTTAAGTGAAAGGGAGTAGATGGAGCTCAGATGTCAAGTACAATAATGACAGGGGCCACTGGATTTGACCACACAGTTACCGATGACCTTGAGACTAGCAGGGGACAACAGTCTACTTGGAGAGGAAGGAAGAGAGAAAAAAGATCCACCAAGTGCATGTGGGCAGATCCTTCAAGAATTTTGACCGTGGGCTGGGTGCAGTAGCTCACGCCTGTAATGACAACACTTTAGGAGGCCAAGGAGGGAGGCTCAATTGAGGCCAGGAGTCAGAGGCCAGCATGGGCAATAGAGCAAGACTCCATCTATGCAAAATATTTAAAAATTAGCTAGGCATGGTGGTGTGTGCCTGTGGTCCTAGCCAATTGAGAGGCTGAGGTTGGGAGGATCACTTGAGCCCAGGAGTTCAAGGTTATGGTGAGCTATGATCACACCACTGCACTCCAGCCTAGGCAAGAGAGACACACTGTTGAGGAACAGGGACAGAGGTGGGTTGTTTCATGATGGGGACTATCAGAGCTCGTTAGCATGATTTGGGAGATTCTCCAGCGGAGAGAACATGGTCAATAATGAGGAGAATGAGGAGGCTGAAGGAGAAAGGGTCTGTGCTCCAGACTCCAGGTGGACAGGACGCCTTTAAGAATTTCTCCTCCACTGTCACAGGAAGGAAGACTGAGGCACAGTCAGCATGTTCTGTCCCCATCCCTTTCCTTGTAATGCTTGGAGAGGAAGGAATAGAGGTGACAGGTCATAGGGGAAGGAGGTCCTAGAAGCTGAGCAGCCAGGGACTCTGTCAGACCATGCACTCCCATTCCCCATAGGACACCTGGATTTCCAAGAACTCAGACATCCTTCTAAATTCTACACACCTCTCTTTATTTTTAGAGTCTTCTTCAAGATCAAAAGCCGAAACGCGCACATGAAAACTCACAGGCAGCAGGAGGAACAGCAGCGGCAAAAGGCTCAGAAGGCGGCTTTTGCAGCTGAGATGGCAGCCACGATCGAGAGGACTACGGGGCCCGTGGGGGCGCCGGGGCTGCTGCCCCTGGACCAGCTGAGTCTGATCAAACCCATCAAGGACGTGGACATCCTCGATGACGACGTCGTCCAGCAGTTGGGAGGTGTCATGGAAGAGGCTGAAGTCGTGGACACCGATCTTCTCTTGAATGATCAAGATTCAGTCTTGCTTCAGGGTGACGCAGAACTATAAAGCCCTGTGTGGCACTTAGAGACAGTGAAAACCCACGGCCTCCGTCTTCATTAATCAGGAAACCTGGACTGCCTGCTTGTTTTGTAACCCTTTTAAACTACCTGTTTTAAAAGTGGTCATTTTATTCAGGTTTAGAAAAAAAAAATCCCATTTCTTTTCCTTTTATTTAAAAAAAAAAATTGTTTTTGTGGGGGGTTGGGGGAATAAATAATTGGCACAACTATCTTTAAGAGGTGTTTCATCTGGGCTATCTTCTCATGAAATCATTCCCAGCAGGGAGTGAAGCTGACCTTCATGTTCCATTGCGTTCAGATGTCAACCATCCCGGTTGCCTTTTATCCCAAAGCTTGCTGTGAGTGTGTGTGTGTGTGTGTGTGTGTGTGTGTGTTGTGTGAAGCAGGCGACCCTCTTAGTGCTGGGGTCTTGTGGCCATCTTTTCCCACAAAGCGTTATTTTGATTCTGTTCTGACCTCATTCCGTAGTTTGCAGTAAGCATGGCATCTTTGCCTGGAGATTCTATGCTAGGGGCAGCTTTCCAGGGGGAAAGCAAGCCCTCGTGTTACACAGCTCTCCTCCAGCACACACAACGCGTGAGGAGATGACCAAATGTGAAAATAGGTTTCCCCTGAGTTGCCTCTCATCCTTTGACCCGTTTGCAGGAATGGAGTACTGTATAATTTTAGGATTTCACTCCAGGCAGTGTTTACTGAGGACCTGGTTTTCTAGAGCAGGTGCGTCCTGTCTTCTTCTGTGTTCCCTGGGGTCTGGTCAGCTCCAAGTTGTGGGTGGCAGAGCTGTGTTCAGCATGAACTGACTAGAGACTCACCTGCAGGCATGTATTAAGTTGCCAGGATTGCTTTCACTTTAGGTGATTAAAGGGCACACATTGAAGTACCTAGAATGCCAGAAAGTGTTCTTTTGCCCAAAAAACAAATCAGAAAAGCAACACCGTTAATTAGTGGAGTTCTGAAATTACTTTGTGCCACTTAGAAGTACTGTGAGACCTCATTCACTGGGATTTTGCTGTAATTTACATCCGCTGGACTGAAGTTTACCTTGATGGTAGCTGTAAGAAATAGTTTCCTAACACATATGATAGCAAATACAAGACAAATAGCATTGAAGGCCAACAAAAATGGCTTCAGACACACTCTTAGCTATAATGTCCGCATTCAAACAATGACTGTATTCATTACAAATCACTTACCAAAGCACTTCTAGACTTCTCTAACCTCCATGACTTTGCTCTGCTTCCTCCTGTCCCTGTCAGCAGGGTTGCTGTTTGTACTTGAAGGTAATAAACCTGTAATCCTTCAAAAATGCCATTTAGCCCCAGGCTTTTGAGCTGAGTCAGACTGACCCATCCCACCACTAGGGCAAAACTCAGGCTGGGACACAGCCCCAGTGCAGAGAAGATCCTGCTTCACGCAACTCCCCTTTCAGAGTTAATGCTGTGTGATTTCCTGGGCGGGTGTTTTCAGGACTTGCCCACCCCAGGTATGCTGGTTCCCAGCTCCATGTAAGTGTGCCTATCACACTGGGCCACTTTGCTGGCACATTCATAGCTTGACATGAGAAAAAGTATCAGCAGAAGCATGAGAGTAGGACCTGACGTCTTTGACTCTGCAAAAGCTTTTAGCAAACATGAGAGGAACCAGCTGTGACCCACAGCAGCCCCACACAGGCTTCAGGAAAGCCATGGACGGAAGAAAAAATAAAACTCTTTTCCATCATTCTGTTTTCAAAGAAGAGGTCTCGGCATTTTCTTACATCTTTTGTTTAGAGGGAAAAGTTTCATTTGCTGCCATTTCAGAAAGGTTATGCTACCCTGTTTAATCCAAGTAGTTGTGAGTCAAGAGCTGCCTGGGCAGTGTGCACCAACTTTGTAGCCAAACCATTACAGCTGTCATATCCTTGGCTGATTGTCTCTCCCGGGGACTACTGCCCTCCACTTAGCAAGTGTCTGAGGGTGAGCTAGAAGGGTACTTCTATTGGGTCTATAGAAGCTTATCAAAGGAGCAAACATCCAGAAAGTGTTTATAAAGCAAATGTATTGCCTCTGTTTGGAGATTTGCCCAGCTGTTCCAGTTTTAAACATTAAAAAATAAACTCAGTTCCCATGGCAAAAGTAGAATGCACAACTGACTTTTAATTTTCCGTGCAGTATAGCATAAGGATTTTTGACTTGAAACAACCAAAGAACTCCTCCTTAACGAGACAGTTCGAATTCCTGAATTAGTGTTTCTTGACTATCAACTTAAAGAATGGACTTCCTAATACAACGTTGCACTTATCTTTATTTTTCTGAAATGATTCTGCCTGCATGTATGTGTTGTGTTTTAGCTTCTTCCCTGCCCCTGCCCCAAAAGAACTTTTCTTCCCAATGGTTAATGTCTTCGACTCGGTTACTGTTTACTATCAGATGGTTTTTCATTAGTGAATTTAGACCTCTTTGAGAAAGCTTGTATATAAAAAGTTAACAGATATATTTTATGGAAAAACCCATCTTATTTTCAAATATATTTAACTGCTGTTATATTTTATTAGAGGAAGGTTGTAAATATTTTCTAGGAGTTCTATTGTAAAGAAAAGTATTTTTGAAAAAAACTAATGTAATAAAAAGGAAAACATTTTTAAATAGTAGTTGTGATTGCTTCCTGTTCTGGCTTCGTTATGTTCTATTCTCAGCAGATGAATTGCATGCCTTCCATATCAGGATGTAATTTATTCAGGTTTGCACTATTATAAGTTGACATCATAATATCCAGTGTGCTTAACTGTATTTTCCTGGAATGCAAATCCTTTGGTCCACATTAAAGCACTATGTATAGCATATTCATAATTTTTTTGTAATGTGTGTATTTTTAATAAGGATTTTATGTAACATTTTGGCAAAAAGAGGACAGTATTTTCTAGTGAATTTTATAATAACATTTTGCTAAAAATGTTTCTTCCTAGGTCAGTTTTTGTTAAGGTGAACCAAAAGTCTTATTTTACCAGGGGTTTAAAAAAAGTTTGAAGCTTGAAAGCAAAGTTATATTTAAACATCATATGTAACAAATAAATAAAGATGTTTTATAGACTTGTCCTAAAAAGGTGCATTCCTTAAAAAAAAAAGAAAAGAAAAAGAAAAGGAAAGAAAGAAACTGAGGCATTCTAGATTGTTTCCCATCTGAGTGATAAGCATTTTTTTTTTTTTTAATTATCACAATGCTTCTTCAGAAAGAGACCCAGGGAAATTTTATTTAACACATTCTAATCATTAGCCTTCTCAAAAAGTTATTACAGTTCCTATAGATGGGCATTCATCAAATGGAGATGTAACCAAATAAACACTGTCATATTTATTTGTGAAACCTGATTCAATATTGCATCAGCTGCTCTGAAAATAAAATCTTATCTTTTTGCGTTTCGTTTGCCTTAAATATTTCTTCTTTCTAGCCACTGCTATGACTTCTCAGTGCTGGATAAATGCTAGTTTCCCTGTTAATTGGTTTCTGTAGGCAACAAGTTTAAGTCTGTTGATCAAAAAATTTAATGCTCATTATTAAAGTGTCCCCCAACTCCAGACACCAGCAGTGGATGAAACACCTGGGGACTTGGTGGTCTCTAAACCTTATGACTCAAATTGTGATTCAAGGGAGCACACTGTGACACACAGGTGTCTTACACTAAATCCTCCACAACGTCTAAGTCCACCCTGATTTATTTGCATTTTAAATCTGCATTTCCAAATTCGAGTAAGTATGTTTACTTTTTTTCTTTTTTCTTTTTCTTTTTTTTTTTTTTTTTTTTGAGACAGAGTCTTGCTTTGCTCTGCAGCCTGGAGTGCAGTGGCACAACCTTGGCTCACTGAAGCCTCCACTCCTGAGTTGAAGCAATTCTCACGCATCAGCCTCCCAAGTAGTGGGGATTATACAGGTCATGGACCACCACACCTGGCTGATTTCTGTATTTTTAGTAGAGGCGGGATTTTACCATTTTGGCCAGGCTGGTCTCGAACTCCTGGCCTCAAGCAATCTGCCCAAAGTGCTGGGATTACAGGTATGAGCCACCATACCTGGCCGTATGTTTGCTTTTTCATGGTCAACAGAAAATTATAGAACTTTGAAATTCTGTATTTTGTTTTATTTATTTTTTATTTTTTCTGAGACAGAGTCTTGCTCTGTCACCAGGGACCAGGCTGGAGTGCACTGTTGCAATCTTGGCTCACTGCATCCTCCGCCTCCCAGGTTCAAGCCATTCTCCTGCCTCAGCCTCCCAAGTAGCTAGGACTTCCGGTGCACACCACCACACTTAGCTCATTTTTGTATTTTTAGTAGAGACGGGGTTTCACCATGTTGGCCAGGATGGTCTCGATTTCTTGACCTCGTGATCCACCCGCCTCGTCCTCCCAAAGTGCTGGCATTATAGGCGTGAGCCACCGCGCCCAGCCTTGAAATTCTGTATTTTATACAAAATTTGCTTTAAGTGGGGAATGCCTATTCAAGACCTTTATCTAGATTCTTGGTGGAAGGGTTGTTGTTTTTAAATTAATAAGACACGGTCTCACTATGTTGGCCAGGTTGATGTTCATCTCCTGGCTTTAAACAATCATCCTGCCTCGGCCTCCTGAAGTGCTAGGATTACAGGTGTGAGCCACTGTGCCTGGCCTCTTTTTTTTTTTAACTTTAATTTTAGCTATTTACTTTAGACAACCTATATCAAATAAAATAGCTGTTCCTCTAGAAACTGTGTGACTCAGCCAGTGTTGTAAATTTAAAGTCTACTTCCAGAGACCTAACTGGAAGATTTTTTTCTACTGTTACATTTATTCAGTGAGTCAATCCTCATGAGCTACCATGTACCAAGCATCATTCCATACTGTATTATACATGGCGGAGGAGAGTGTATAAAGATGGCTGTACATGAGTCCTTCCTGCCAAGGAATTTAATACCTAGAAAGACATATGGGGGCCTTGGAACAGATCCAATTCCAGCATTGAGAAAAGCCCTATCAATATTCAGAATCCTCTCACTGCCACCCACATTTACACAGCAATTTATAGCAGGTGCTCGGCAACTATTTGTTCAATGAGTTACCGCTCCAGTCCTCCAGGTATGCACATCCCCGTGTGTGTTCAGCAGAGAGAGAATGTATGTGTAAATAAAACCTCTTTGAGGTTTACTTAAAGCCAATCCTGAATTCCATTTACTCCCCATCTACCATGCTCAGCCAGCACCAGCGAGC